GCCCTAAAAATAGGAGAGAGACAATTGGGGTGAGGCACACAGCAAGGGAAACATCAGGAAAGAAAGAAGAGAAGAGAAACTTGGGGGGGGGGAGAGGAAATGGGGAACAGCTCAGCTGGAAGGAGCTAAAACACACCAAGCCTTTTCAATTTAACGCTGGTGGAAAGAAACAAACATCTGCTAGTTTAAAATTTAAATGAATTTAAATGATGAGGCTGGAGTGATAGTACAGCGGGTAGGGTGCTTGCCTTGCACGTGGCCCACCCAGGTTTGATCCCAGCATCCCATATGGTTCCCCGAGCCCTCAGGAGTGGTTCCTGAGTGCAGAGCCAGGAGTAACCCCTGAGCATTGCCAGGTGTGGCCCCAAAACAAACAAATGTAAAAAAAACTGAATGATAAGTTATCTGCGAGAGGAAGTGAAGGGTCAGAGAGCTCAACAGACTGAGTGCGAGCAGAAAGCCCTGGATCGATCGATCCCCATACATGGTCCCCTTGGCACTGCCAGGCATGACTCCTGAGCAAAGGACCAGGAGGAGCCTCTGATCCCTGCTAGTTGTGGCCCCCCCAAACCAACAGAATTAATCAATTAAGGGGCCAGGGAGAGTGCACGGCGGTTAAGGCGCTTGCCTTGGATTAGCTGAGCTCAGTCCTTCCTGCTACTGCATATGATCCCCACGAGGAACCCCCCCCCCCCCCGAGCACCACTACCCCCCCCAACATAAAAGTCTCAAGAGAATTAGAGGAGAACCAAACTCACATATATGAGCCTCGGGGGACCTGAGGTGAGCAGGGGTGAGTAGGAATGAGTAGGGGTGAGTAGGGTAGCTGCCAGAAACAAAACTGACTCCAGACAAACAGAAAGACAAAACAAGGTCATTGAAAAGTTAGGGAGAACTTGGACACAATGGGACTTGTGAAAAGCAGAAGAGAATGTCAGACTTGTTGCAAAAGTTGCTATAACAAGATGTTGGAATTAGACCGATAGGGCATAAAAAGAATAGGTGAGCTGACAAAATTTCATCCTTAAGACTTCACCTACATTTGAATAACTCCCAAACCCTGCTCCAGCCCAAACCGCTGAGCTCTGTCTGACTCTCTCCCTGCTACCTGGTGATGTCCAGGCAAATATTCCTCAATCCCACAAACCCTCCCTCCCTCCCTCCCTCCCTCCCTCCCGTCAACCCCAGCCACTGAGGGAGTTCGGACCCTATAGTTGCCTGCACTGGGAACCCCTGAATTCATTCCTGGCTGCATTCTCAGCTCCCCAGCTAGACTCAATCCCCGCCCCGTGTATTAGTCTGCCAGGACGGCCCAGCCAAGGCTCCCAGCCTGGGATTCAGCAGAGAAAAAAAATTAGCTTCCTCGCAGATCTGAAGACCAGCCCAGGAGCCAGCAATCTGGGTGCTTGTGAGCCGGCTCTTCCTGGCTGCAGTTCTCTCAGGGCATTTTCTGAGTGCACAGAAGTGGGGTATAACCTGGGGATGTCTCTTCTTAGAGGGGCCTAATCCTCTGGGATTAGGCGCTCTCCCAAGAGCTCATTCAACCGTGAGTATTGCCCTAGAGGTTCCCCACCCAAATAGAGTTCTGCTGAAAAGGGCTTCACTGCAGACTTTTTGGCAGAGAAGGGGGCAGGAGGGAGACAAACTTTGGGTCCCTAAAGCGTTCCCCCGCTAAGTGTTCCCTGATACGGGAGCCCTCTCTCCTCCCACAGCCTCGGCCCGCCACCTCCCACTCTGGCCCTCACACCAGCCACCCCTGGGCACTCCCAGCAAGATTCTCTTTCCCCAAGCAGGCAGGACCAGCTCAAGGTTTTCACCGCTACCAGCCTCTTTAATTTCCCAAACAATTCCTCCCAATGATAGAAACCCAAAACTCCGACAGGCTAGGACAAGTGTCCAGAGGTGAATTTACCCCCAGACCAGGTACATCTCTTGCCAGCGTTCAGCCAACACTGAGCGAAGACCAAGTCCGATACATTCCTGTGATTTCTGTGTTGACGGCAAGTGGGTTTCCCTTCTGGTTTCAACTGCCATGCTCCTACCCGCCACCCCCCCTCCCCGGTTTCCTGCCTCACTCGGGAATGAGGAGCCAACATTTGGGTAACAGAAATGAAAACGCACTCTTCCTGTGAACGCGGGGTGCGTGCAACTTCAGTTCGCACATTTCTGCACATTTCCGAGAGCAGAACTTTGACAAGCATGAAGTGACAAATGAACTTTGCCTCCGTTCCCTGTGAGCTGATGCCCTGACTTCTGTTCAGACACCAGAGGAACTAGCCGAACAGGCCCCACACTGGATGGCATTCCTGGCTCTACTCTAGAGGCTTCTTGAGGTTTGCACAGGGGGAAGCAGTTTCTCTCTGGCCATGCCTGAGAGTAACTCTGGGGTCCTCTGCGCTCATTCAATGCACAGACAGCCCATCCGAGCATGCCAGGCCAGCCAGGCCTCTTGGTGTTGGGGGTCTAACGGTCACCAGAGTTGAGTTCTCCCCTCAAACCAGCCGCAGCTGTTCACCCTCTGCCAACCCAGCCCAGTGGGGTGGGGGCGGGGGGTAGGGGCGGGGGTCTGCCTTGCCTGGCTCTACCAGGATACTTGGCTGCGTGCCTGTGGTTCCTGGCCGGCACCGCTATGTGGACCAATAAATCAACCTCCACAGTTGGCTCTGCTGCCCAGGCTGTCTCAGGTGTGGCAGAGGCGCCCGGCGATCGGGGATGAAGCTCCATGTGTCCAGGGCTAACTGGGCACTGCACCACCAGCCCAGGTCATGCCAGGTGCTGTCTGCGGTCTCGGGGCCTGTGGGCTTGAAGATGGGAGGGTTTGGGGGGCGTGGCCGGCGCATGCTTGGGACCACTGCCGCCTGCAGACAGTGCCCGGCTGTGCTGGGCGAAAGAGAGGCCCACTTTCCAGGCCCGCCCCCGTCCCTTTCCACCGCTTATTTAAACAAGACGCCCCAACTCCCCTGCACTCTGCCCAGACACCCCGGCTTCCGGAGCTAGAGGAGCGAGCGGCTGAAAGGTCTTTCTGTCTCACGGTTTCCTGCCGGTGGGTTCTGCGCGGGCGCTGGTGGGAGTGGACAGAGGCTGCAGCAGAGCCCGCGGAAGGAGGCCCAGAGCGAACCCGCGTGTCCGCTCCCTGGTCCATCGTGGTCTCAATTTGCGAGAAGGAGGAAGGCTGGAGCTCTGAGGGAGGAGGACAGCCGCTTTCCTAACAAGGTCTGGCTCTCACTATCGCGGATGCAGTTTTGTAGTTTGCTTCTCTTTTGAGAAAAGGAAAGGGCCTGTGGCTTCAGGGGTATCGCTTCCCCTTAGGAAACCCCCTTCCCCAATACTCAGTTCCTGTCATTTAATTCTGGGTTTAAAAAGAAAAAAAAAACACGAATGGGGGGTGGGGGTGCAGAGTTTGGTGCATAGTCTGTGTGAGCACAAAGACCCCTAACAAACTCTCAGGGAGAGGAGGTGTGAGCTCCCATATCACTCCCAGAGGAGGGAAGCACCCGTTGGGGGAGGGGGCACGAAGGGCAGGACCCAGAGGGAGGATGCAGGTGTCCTGGGAGCTTCTGGCAGCGGCTGTCAGAGGCAAGAGGCCAGGGTGTCCGCAGGGACACACACATCACTGGTGCTGGCCACCGCCCAGAGCTCTGGCTTCCTTCTTTGGATGATCCGGCCACGCCAAGTGTTTGTGCACATCTGGGCGGGTTCAGTGGGCGCCGCGCAAGACCCTGGAGGGACCCCCGCGTTACAGGAAAGGGAGCATGAGGTTCAGAGGTAAAGGACTTTACGAAGGTCGAGCTGATGGGTGGAGCCTCAGGCCAGGAGCCGGGCCCCAGGGCACCTCTAGTGGGTTCCGGATGCAGAGGGAGGCGAGGACACCCCGCGGGCAGCCGCTCTGCAACACCGCAGCCTGCAGAGGGCAGGAGTGACTGGGAGGCAGGTTCCAGATTCCTTGAATCACGGTGCGAGCGATTTGCAAAAGTGTCTAAGAAAGGCCGAGAGGCTGCGGCGGGGCCGGGGCGTGCCGGTGCGGAGGGTCCCTGGAAAACGGAGACCTCCGGGAGGAGAAAGGAAGTTCGAGAAGGGCAAGACGCGAATGCGGCGTGGGGTCTCACGGGGAGGGGGCTGAACTTCCTGGGACTGAGTGGGGCGGGCGGGGCCAGAAACCCGGGGTTCCGCGAACGAATCTGGGGCGGAGCTGCGAGCTGGGGGCGGGTCGTGGGGGCGGGGCCTAGGCCTAGGGGCGGGGCCTGGTGGGGCGGGAAGGGGCGGGGCATGGTCTGGGGCGGGGAATAGGGCGGGGCCGAGGTTTAGGGGCGGGGCCTTGGAGACCTTAGGGGCCGGTCGCCGCCGCTCCGGGACAGAGGTCGGCGAGGCTGGCACCCGCGTCCCGGGGCGGGGCGAGGAGGCGGGACGCGAGTGTCCAGGGCCGGACTCCTCCCGCTCGCGGGGAGCCGGCGGCCTCGAGTCCACAGGCTAACCTTACTCACGCACCCCCCTGATCGCCACCGCCAAGGCAAGGGGGTCCCCCGCCCCTCCACCTGCAGCGAGATCGCGCTAGTCTGTCCCCTCTGCACTCTTTTCTCCTCCCCCGGCCGGCTTCCCGCCGCCTCTGGGTTCAGCTCCCTTAAACCCAGGTATCTACCCGCGATTGCAAAACTCCTTGGAGAGCTCGGATTGTTCTAGCTTCGCGTATCAGATCAAACCCCGACCCGGAGGCTACAGGTCGGCGGCGGTTGCACCCCGCATCCCGCCTCCTGGCCTGGGACGGCTAAGCACGTGGAGTGCCCCCTCCTCCACCTGTCAGCCCGGGTTCGTTACACAAAACACCGCCCCACCCCCCCGGAGTGCACTTAGTCCGTCCGTGGGGACAGCCGGGCCCACACCCTCTCCCTGGCGACGTGGAGGGTGTGGCGGCGCGCGCAGGTGGGGCCCCGGGTCTTTGTACCCAGCTCGCCTGGCCGGGCTGCCTCGCGGGCACCTCTCTGAGCTGCTTCCTCTACTTCCAGGTTCTGACTGCAGTGCGACCACTGTGCAGCAGGAAGATCAAGGTCGTGGACCCTCAGGTAAGACCGCAGCCAAGCTGGTGGATGTCCAGGGAGACCGCTTGGGGCCCTCCTTTATAGATTACTTATTACCTTTCGATATCAAGACTCTGGCCAGGCTAAGGACTCAGGGTGTTGAAATGATTGAAAGCGCCTCTGGGTGAGCAGCCTGCACCTTCCTGAAGAATGGGGGTGGAATTGGGGAGGGGGAGCATGGCCGTAGAACCAAGGCTGGAGGAAATGGTTCCTTCAATCCTGACCAGGGTGAGGTGGCCTTCACCAAATGCAGGAAAGGGCTGGGGCATGTGGCCCACCTGGGTTCCACCCCAGTTCCACATCCTGCTCAGATGTGGCCCTGAGGTGGACCATTAATTCCAGGAGCTGCAGGTCCAAGCAACACTGAATCTTTGGTTCCTAGCCCTGTACCGCTGACCACATTGACCAAATATCACTAGGGTGACCTCCAGGCCCCCTGAGCACTGATTGTTCTCCCCCCTCCCGGTCCCCGCACAAAGAAGATGCAGAAGGGCTGGAGAGGTAGTGCATTAGCCTCACACGCGATCGCCCCGGGTTCGATCCCCAGCACATATATATTCCCTCAAGCCCCACCAGGAGTGCTCCTGAAAGCAGAGCCAAGAGTAAGTCTCTGGGTGGGCCAGAAACTGGGGCGGGGGGGAGTAGTTTCTGTAAAGACCCCACCAGCAGCCATGTGGCTGGCATGGGGGAAGCAGAGGAACAGCTGGACCTGGCAGTGACTGAGCAATCCCCCCTGGTCTCTGCCTATCCCTGGGGAAAGTGGGGGAGGTGGCACTTCAGCGGGCACATGCTGGGAGCCAGCAGCTGGTCCCACGCAGCCCACAGAGCACACCTGAGGCAACTGAGGTGACCTGCTGGGGCTCTCTGGGAGCTCCTGGTGTCTGTTGGCAAGGCCGTGCCCAGGCCCAGACGCCGACCAGCAGGTTCCAGAGCACAGCCAGCAATGACCCCCAGAGTCACCTGCAAGGGGAGGAGGGGAAGATCTTAGAATGCAGCCCCGTCCTGCAGGGGGGCCCTGGTCATGGGCGGCAGCATAACTGGAATGGGGACACTCCGGACAGGGCTGTGGCTGGTGGGCTGGAGGTAAATCTGTGCCCGGCCTGAGACTGTCCGATGCATTCTAAGCTCCCGTGGAAAATTGCTCTTGAAAGCATGATGGTGCCTTTGCTTGTGCCCGCTGTGCAGGGAAGCCTCTGCTAGGGGCCCACACCGCCCCCTCCCTCCCAGAGACAGGAGGTGAGAGCTGACTGTAGCACAGGGCCTTGGCAGTGACAAAATGAGCTGCAGCAGTGAAGAAGGAAGACTGGGGAAGAGGTGGGCACCAGGCTGAATGCTAGCCTTTTCCTCCCCGCACCCAAGCGGCCGTTACCCCCACACCTGACAGAAGGGGTTGGGGCAGTGGGGGACAGAGGCTGGGTTGATTCTTTGCATAGGACCGTTTGCTTCTCTGAGCATCGTGGGGAGTAATCTGAGCAGAGCACTTGGAGAAGCCCGTGAGCTGTGGCCCACAAACAAAAACAAACCACAGGGGAGGAAACTGAGGCTCAGAGGAGCTGCTGACCAGCAGGAGGCCCTGAGCCCAGGCTGTCCACACGCAGTGACTGTCCTTCCTGTGCATGCTGTGCCTTAGCCATAAACCAGGGTTACCAGGGCTTCTGGCTGCTCGGTCTCAGGTAGGGCCCCCCTGCCCGGTATAGCCAGGAACTGGGAAGGTTTTGGGTTTTGAAAGATCAAGTCACCGATGTAAGTTGGAGTGACTGCTCCTGGAGGCGAGGGACAGAGACTCAGCGCCAAGTGACTCGAACCAGGGGACAGTCACTGAGGGACAGCTGACAGTGACACCTGAGGCAGAGTTCCCTCCAGGTGCCAGAAAAGCTCCAGGACTTGTCTCTCTCCTTATAGACTGCAGTTCCTTGGAACTGAATCCGAGCTTTAAGGAAAGCTCCCTCCCAAAGTTTCTGGTTTTTTTTGCTTGTTTGGGGGCCATATCCGGTGATGCTCAGGGGTTACTCCTGGCTCTGCCCTCAGGAATTACTCCTTATGGACTGCAGTTCCTTGGAACTGAATCCGAGCTTTAAGGAAAGCTCCCTTCCAAAGTTTCTGGGTTTTTTGCTTGTTTGGGGGCCACACCCGGTGACCCTCAGGGGTTACTCCTGGCTCTGCCCTCAGGAATTACTCCTAGCAGTGCTTGGGGGACTATATGGGATACTGGGGATCGAACCTGGGTCAGCTGGGAACAAGGCAAACACCCTACACGCTGTGCTGTGGCTCTGGCCCTGCACTCTGTTTTTTACTCAGGTGAAACAGGTCACTTTCCTGAGACCACAGGCACAGCTCAGGTCATGAGACCATTCTGCCTGGTGTGTGTGTGTGTGTGTGTGTGTGTGTGTGTGTGTGTGTGTGTGTGTGTTGGGGATGGACGGGGGTCCCTAGTGGAAGAGCCCTCCCCAGGGGCTGGCATGAGTGTGTCTACTCAACTGAGAGGTGCAGGGTAGGACTAAAGGGGGTCCCGGCTGGCCTGGCGGCATGAATGTACACACAGTGCCGATCTGAGGAGCAACTGCCCCTGCACGTGTGCTGGCACCGGGACAGCTCCTGGAGGCCGGGCGCTGAGTCGGGCGCACCCCCTCATCCCTCAAAGTTGTCCTCTCAGTCTTTCTTTCCACGTCCTCCCCTCCACACACTAACGCTGCGTTTCGGCAGCTCGGAGCTCCCGCCCCGTTGCCATGCCAACCTTGCAGCAGGCATCCAGGCTAGGAGGTGGTGTGTGTGTGTGTGTGTGTGTGTGTGTAGGGGGGCGCGCACAGACAGAGGTGGAGGGGCGCACGCACCACGCTCTGGCCCAGCAGATGTGAGCCTGCAGGTGAGGGGATGGGAGCACCAGGACAGAGGGGAGCACCCCAGCAGGCACAGCCCCACCCTGCCCCCCAGGGCTGGCTCTGACCCTGCTCAGTGACCACGAAGGTCCCAGGGGATGTGGGACTCCAGCTCGGACCTGAAGCCCAGGGTTTTGGGGTCTCTCCTGCTCCTTTGGTGACAGCCCCAAGGGGAGGGACCCAGGGTGAGAACTCCACAAACACAGGACCCCCCAGGGTAGCACCCCTGGAGGAGAGACGGCCAGGGTGTGAAGGAGGCCCGCAGTGGGCAGGCCAGGCCATTGCCCCTCACTGGGACTTGCTGACCAGGGCGCTCCCGGGGAACTGGTTTGATGAAAGGCCCAGACTAGGGGTGCAGGCGGGTGCCTGTGTCCTTCCCAGGCCTCCCGACTCGCTGCGCAGAGCAGCCGCCAGCCTCCGCCTCGAGCCCCGGCGCTTCCCGCTCCTCGGTGCGTGGGGAGGTGTGGCCCAGACTAATTAGCGTGTTGTTGTTTGTTTACCCCTTTTCATTTCACGGAGACAAAATAATTAAGTAGTGCCTCAGAGCCCCGCTCCTTTGGTTGACAGTCCCTCCTGCGTCGGCCACGTCACAGCTCCTGTGCGCAGAGGCAGGGGTGCATTCAGGCAGGGGTGCGCAGAAGCAGTGTTGCACAAGGCAAGGGTGCACAGAGACGGGGCTGCTGGAGGCAGGGCTGTGTAGGGAAGGGCTGACAGCAGGGGTGCACGGAGGCCTGGATGGAGGCAGGGCTGGTATGCAGTACCTCCAGGCTTCTGTCCAGGCACTGCATGAGGGGACAGGCGAGGGGCCCAGATGGTAGCCCACGGTGGCCATGCTGGCTGGCGGGGGCAGGTGGGAAGGGCGGTGCCCACATCACGTCCCCCCTGCCAGCCAGCCCTGGCAGTGCCTGGTGGTGATCAAAGACTATCCCGGGATGCAGGGACTGGCCACTCACAGCCGCTGTGTACAGGGCCGGGTGGGGACTTGCCCAGAAGTTCTTGGGGCCACAGCAGGAGTGAGGGGACAGTGAGCCCCCCCCACGAGGCACTGCTGGGGCTGAGTCATGTGAGTTTGGGTGGGAGCCCGGCCCTGTCAGGAGTGATTCCCTACGCCGTCCCCGCACCCGAGGCTCTGCCGTCACCCTCCCCCTGTCGGCCTCTTTGTCCCTTCTTCTTTCCCGCAAAACTGCCAGCCACAGCCCCGCTCAGTCACATCACAGCTCAGACTCCGAGGCCACAGCCCAGGCCCCTGGGGCTCAGGCAGCCTCTGGTCCCTGGCAAGATGACAGCACAATGTAGGGGGCTGGGCTCACTGCCACCTGGGGTGGGGTCAGGAGAGGCTGAGAGGGGGCCATGTTCCATGACCCTGCATCTCCCAATTCCCAAACCGTGACCTTCCCAGCGATCCCCTGGAGACAGCGCCGGCCCAAACGCTTGCACAAACCTCCACGGCCACCGGCCCGGGTGAGCGCCAGCCTATCACCCCGCCCTCCAGCACAGATGTTCCTTTCCACTAGCCCAGCTCCCGGTGCTGGTGTCTGCTGGGGAGACAGCACCCCGTAAGCATCCCCCCACCACGGGGGTCGCTCACTGCAGCATGTGGCTGGCTGAAGGGGACAACCCTGGCCGAGCCTAAGCACGGTCCCTTTGGCCGGTGGTGGCCCTCTCTGGGTTCACATCCTCCTCCTGTGGTACTGCCCCCACACACCTGGTCACAGTGGGGCCCGAAACCACGCATGGCACCAAGGCCTTGGGCAGCAACAGCAACAGCCCTGTGGCGTGGACCCCACAACCTCAGGCATGCACGTGTCAGCCACCAAGCCCTCTGTCACCCCTAAGCACCCAGCACCAGAGCCCCGACCACATGTAAGGCGGGGAAGGAACCCACCCCCGGAGTTTCTTAAGCCACCTGGTGAGGGACAGGCAAAGATCATCTCGAAGTCCCCAGCTGACACTTAAGGACCAGGGACAGAGGCTGGGGAATAACGCCACCCCGTGGGGGGCTGGGAGACATGCAGACAGTAGTGGGCCTGGCTAGGAGCTGTGATGCCCAGTGAGGGCCAGCAAGGCCTCGTCTGAGAGGGGCGCTGGGGGGCATGGTGGCAGGCTCCGGAGGGAGGGTGGGGACTGATGGCATGTGGGTGCACAGGAGGCACTGAGCTCGGTGACCCAGGATGCGGGACATGCTGGGGGGGGGGGGCAGAAGCCCCTGGGGGCAGGGCAGCTTCGGGGCTGGGGTACGAAGCAGACCAGGCCCCCACACCTGTAGGCTGGTCAGGAAAACTCTGGCCTGGGCTTCTCAGGAGTGATCAGCCCATTCCCCAGAGGCTGGGTAAATACTCCAGCCTCCTCTCTATTGATTTTACATTCAGGGCAATACACACACCTGCCACTCTGGGGTGCGGGCAGGGACCAGGCAGGGTGACTCGAGCTGGCAGCTGGGCCCCGGGGAGAGGCCAAAGGCCCAGGCCAGGCCCCTCAGCTGCATGGAGCCTCCCAGAGGTGAGAGCTTGGCTCTGCTGCGCCTCTGTCTGTGTGGGCACGGGATTCCAGAAGGGGGCACAGCTTAGCCCCCAAGCACTATCCCCCGATGCCCTGTCCTGCCAGTCCCGAGGCCGCAAGCCCCAGGCATCACCTGTCCTCCTTTCGCACCCCAGGCTCTCAGGGACAGCCTGTCGGGCCAGCAGCCCCTGCCTTGGTTTCCCCCGTGCCCCTCCTCTGTGGGGCCACAGACTGGCCTGTGCTGCTGGGCAGGGGTGGGTAATGCTGGAGGCTGAGGCCAGGCCCCGCTCCGTAAGGCACGTGCTTTGCTGCTCCAGACAAGCAGACCCCCAGCTCCCCAGGAGTTGCTGGCGGTCCCGGGGTTCAGTGCCTGCAGGGGGTGCCCTCTCGAACCCTGGCCCATTCTTGGAGCAGCTGGGCCCCAAGGTGGAGATGGCGAGCTCTGCCAGAAACCAAACACACAGGCCGGGGCCAAGGGCTGTCCCCGGACCACCAGCCGCTCCTGCCACAAGGGGCGAGAACAGTGTGTGTGTGTGTGTGTGTGTGTGTGTGTGTGTGTGTGGTGTGTGTTGCCAGCAGCTGCCCCCGGACCACCAGACACTCCTGCGCAAGAGGCGAGAACAGTGTGTGTGTATGTGTGTGTATGTGTGTGTGTATATGTGTGTGTGTGTGTGTGTGTATGTGTGTGTGTTGCCAGCAGCTGCCCCCGGACCACCAGCTGCTCCTGCCGCAAGGGGTGAGAACAGTGTATGTGTGTGTGTGTGTGTGTGTGTGTGTGTGTGTGTTTCCCACCCATTCGCCCTGAAGGTGAGTCGAGCCTCCCCCCCTCTCTCACTACAGGTGGCCCAGTATGGCCCACTGAGGTGAACCATGACCGACTGGCCACTGCTCATCACTGACCACCCTGAGTCGCATCTCACCCAGAGGTGACCCTCCTCCAGCGGCCCCTGCCCGCCCCCACCCAGGACCGTGCCCACCCCGCCACGGACACCATGTAGAGGGGCCGCCGCGGCGCCCAGGGAGCTGCGATGGTTTTGTACACGACCCCCTTTCCTCACAGCTGTTTGTCCGCCCTGCACGCTGTGTCCTGGGCCCTCATCTTCCCATGCGTCTGGCTGGTGGACCGGCTCCTGGCCTCCTTCAAGCCCACCACCTACGAGAAGCGCCAGCGGGCGGACGACCCGTGCTACCTCCAGCTCCTCTGCACCGTGCTCTTTACGCCCGTCTACCTGGCCCTCCTGGTGGCCTCACTGCCCTTTGCCTTCCTGGGCTTCCTCTTCTGGTACCCGCTGCAGTCGGCCCGCCGGCCCTACATCTACTCCCGGCTCGAGGACAAGGGTCCCGGCGGCGGGGCGGCCCTGCTCAGTGAATGGAAGGGGACAGGCCCCGGCAGGAGCTTCTGCTTCGCCACCGCCAACCTCTGCCTCCTGCCCGACTCCCTGGCCCGGTACAACAACCTGTTTAACACACAGGCGCGGGCCCGCGAGATTGGGCAGAGGATCCGCAACGGCGCCAGCCGGCCTCAGATCAAGATCTACATCGACTCGCCCACCAACACCTCCATCAGCGCGGCCAGCTTCAGCAGCCTGGTGTCCCCTCAGGGCGGCGACGCAGTGACCCGCGCCGTCCCTGGGAGCATTAAGAGGACGGCCTCGGTGGAGTACAAGGGCGAAGGCGGGAGGCACCCCAACGAAGAGGCTGCCAATGGCCTGGCCTCAGGGGACACGATCGATGGGGGCAGCCTGGAGGACGCCTGCATCGTGCGCATCGGCAGCAGCGGCGGCGGCGAGGAAGGGGGCCGGGCCCCGGAAGCCGAGGACCCCCCCATGGGGGTCCAGGCCAGGAACGGCACCGGCGGGGGCCCTCGAGGCCAGACGCCCAACCACAGCCAGCGGGACGGGGACTCGGGGAGCCTCGTGGGCAGCCCCTCGGCCTCCCGGGAGTCCCTGGTGAAGGCGCGGGACGGCGAGGACCCCGGAGCCACCAACAGCAAGCCTCCCACCAAGGCCTCGGTGGCGAAGAAGGCGGCCGCACGCCGGCGGCGACACCCCGACGAGGCCTTCGACCACGAGGTCTCCGCCTTCTTCCCCGCCAACCTGGACTTCCTGTGCCTGCAGGAGGTGTTCGACAAGCGCGCGGCCGCCAAGTTGAAAGATCGGCTGCACGGCTACTTCGAGCACGTCCTGTACGACGTGGGCATCTACGGCTGCCACGGCTGCTGCAGCTTCAAGTTCCTCAACAGCGGCCTCTTCTTCGCCAGCCGCTACCCCATCATGGACGTGGCCTATCACTGTTACCCCAACGGGAGAGGCACCGACGGGCTGGCCTCCAAGGGAGCGCTGTTTCTCAAGGTAGGGTCCACGGCGGGGGTGGGGGGGGAGGGCGCTGAGAGAGGGTCCCCTCTCACAGCGTTCCAGCTGGGGAACGAAGGGACTCCAATGCAGACTCTGAGTGCAGGGCTGCCTGGCCGGGGGGACCCTGGACAAGTCCCCACAATTCTGAGCCAGGGCGTCAAGGGCGGTGAGGCCTTGCAGGCCAGGGGCTGGGGCTCAGGGGTGCCCGTCTCTGTGCGGGCTGCCAGCCTCCCCCTGCCGACACGCAGCTGCCAGGCCCGGCACTCTGCCCACCGGCCCGTGGCTTCCCTTCCTCAGTCACTAATTAAAGTAAATCACAATTATTTCTGCTAATTTGGATGCAGTCGGAGGAGTTTTTAGACCATGGTAATTCGGTCATTACAAATTATCTTCTTACTGAGCCTGACACACGCCAAGGGCTGACTTTCTGTTCCTTATCCAAAAGCAGTTCTTGGCGCTTCCAAAATGTTCTGAAGCATGGTTTGGCTGGGGCCGGCTGGAGCTTCAGCTTCCTGCTGCTGGGGGGGGGGGGGGGCGGCGTGGGCTCTCTCCCTGAAGGTGAGGCCTGGAGGTGGGGCTCCCCCCAGGATCCGGGGGCTGGAAGAGCTAAGAGACACCCCCCCACCCCACCCCCACCCAGGCATGGCTAGACTGCCTCACTGCTCTCCCACACTGTGCCCTCCTGTCCCAGAGAGTGCCCCAGAACCTGAGCCCCTGTTCTCCGGGCGTCCAGAGGGGGGTACCCGGCTCCCCGCAACCGGCAGAGGAGCTGAGGCGGGACAAACTCTTACCCCGAGCCCCTACTCCCTCCTAGTGCTTGGCTGTCCCGTTCCGCGCATGCGTCTTTGTCTCAGCAGCGGGAGCGACTCTCTGGGGAAAGGAAGGAGAACTGCTGTCAGGCTCAGTGTGAAAGGGCCCAAGGACCCCTCCTGCCAAGCGCCCTCTTTTTTTGGGGGGGCTGGTGCTCAAGGCTTTCTCCTGGCTCAGGAATCAGTCCCGGCAGGGCTCCGGGATCACAGGAACCGGGCTCCAAGCGCTGGGGTCCAGGTTCCCGCCCCAGCCCTGCAAATCCCCATGCAGGGCCGTGTGCTCCAGGCAGGAGCCCAGGCATTGCCAGGTGTGGCCCCGAGCCCCGAATCAAGCGTTTCACATGGAGGCGTCTGCTGTCTCTCCCACTTCTCCCACCTCTCCCATCTCTCCTGCTCCTGGGTGCCCGGGTCCTGCAGTGGGGTCCCTAATCAGCAGCCCATCCACGGCCCAGTGCCCTATAGGCACCATACACGCAGACGCAGCTGTGGCTTCACTGACCCCTCCCGTCCACCCCAGACCTCTCCTGAGGCTCCAATTCAAAGTAAGCGAACGGCCTGCCAGCCCCACCCCCCCACTGCCCCTCCCCCACCTCGGCAAAAGCCTACCAGACTCGGCAAGACCATCCACAGCCCCAGCTTTACTGGAACCCTGGCTGGCCGGCCCCTGTCCTCTGCATCCACCCAGCTGAGACCCCCGCGTCCTGCTCTTTCTCTAGCTCCCTCCAACTGCACGCCTGGGGGCCACTACATTAGCCCTGTCCAGCACCTGCCCCCTCACTGGGCTGCCCAGCTCCAACCTCGGAGGGTCCCTTGGCCTTCGTGCTGAGGGTCTGGATTCTGCCTCCCAGCAACAGAGCTGGGCAGAGCTGGCTCTGCCCGGCACACAGCACTGGCTCGTCTCTGTGGGAACCAGATAAGGCTGCAGGCGCAGGCCGGGCTCGGGACTGGGCCAAGGTGCTGGGCGGATGCTGCCTTTGCCAGAGGGGCTCCCCGGGGCAGCCCATCCTCCAGCGTCCCCTGGCACCGCCCATGCCCGAGAACCAGCTTTGCTGCCCGGAGCTGAGCGGCAGGGCTGTGGAAGCACCGTGTGGTGAGACACAGCTGAGTCCCGCTCTGCTAACAGCCTGTGCCCAGCAGGACGGAAAGGCACAGCCTCTCGGCGTGATTGTTTGTTTTTGCCAGAGGAACACAAGCCTGTACGGCTCCTGAGCACTCGAGGCCCCGATCAATAAGTTCCAGCACATGATAAAGTGGATCCCAGCGCACTCGCAGGCAGGCTGAGCAGGAGGGGAGGGGAGGCCGGGGGTGGGGGGTGGGGAGGGGGGCTGGGGAGGCGCCTCAGTGTCTCCCACACTTGTCGCTGGCCTGTCCTGGATGCAGCGCAAGCCCGGGACAAGGTACAAGGGAGCATGATGCTGAAGAGCCTCCAGACAGGCAGCCTGTGACCCGCAGCTCACAAAACACTGCCACAGTGAGGGACTGGGCATGGGGCAGCCAACGTAACGCAGCCTCGGCCACTGGAGTCTGGGGACCCCCGCCAGATAGGGCAAGATTTTAGTATAATCGTCACCATCATAAGCCTCTAGCAAGGCGGGGTCCAGAGCGTCCAGCGTCCAAACACTGTTAGCAGGGGGCTGACCCTTGGCCCAGAGATGGGAGGACGCGATGGCGCCCTCATGTGGTGGCCCTTGGGCATTCTATTCGTGGCTTTCGGTTTTGTTTTGTTTTGTTTTTGGAATTTGGTTTGTTTTTGTGATTCCTGGCTCTGCACTGGGGAATCACTCCGGGCGTTGCGGTGCTCAGGGGACCAAATGGGTTGCTGGGATTCAAACCCAGGTCGGCCACGTGCAAGGCAAACATCCTACGGGCTGTGCTATCGCTCCAGCCCCTCGCTTTTGGCTTTTACACCATGTTGTTTTTGTAGCAATGCACAGTACTGTCAGGCCAAGCTGTAAACATGGGCAAGAAGGGAATGCACTTCACTTGACCTTTATGAACAGCTCAAAACCCAGGCCACAGTCTGCTACTAAGTAGCCACATTCACCCCCTGTGACCTGGGGCAGGGCTAGGAGAGGGGACACAGAGCCCAGGACAAGTGGGGCTGATGGTCCCCCTGGAGGGAAACAGCAGAAAGCAGCTCTTGGAGCAGAGGCCGGGACTCGTCCAGGAGGCTGGGCAGGGCCATCTTGGACCCAACACCCTCCCCACCCAGAGGAGTCCCAGGGCTGGGGGGAGGGCAGAGACCCCAGTCAGGAATGGATTCGCAGAGTTGGCGGGAGGACAGCTGAAGCTCTGGCAGGAGGAGATCCTGGGGAGGAAGAAGGGGTGCTGACCCAGGCTGCTGGGGGTTCCTGGGTGCACAGCCCCAGTCCCTGGGGCCTGGCCCTCCCCCGCTCCCATCCCAGCCACAGCCCAAGAGCCCCTGGGGTGCATCTTGAGTTTTCTCCCAGAGGCACCTGTTCCCGTTACACTGGTGTGGGGAGGCAGGTGCAGGAGGCCCTGTGGGCTGTGGACGCGGGAAGAGATCTCGGAGGCCCTCACCGGTGTCTCTGTGAAGGAAGTGAGCTGGGAGGCTGAGTGCAGGGGCGCCGTGGGGGCGGGGAGCCTGGAGGGCTGGGCTGAGGTGGTGGCCGGAGTCAGCCTGACACAGGTGCCCGGTGCAGAGGCCGTGACTGCCACCCAGAATGAAGGGACAGAGATGTGCCAGAAGCAGCAGGTGGGAATCCAGGGCTCGTCCCGGTGGGCTCCCCCCCCCACCCCCCGTAGGGTGGCTCGCTGGCGAATCTGCTCTGACCTCCAGGCACTGCTTGTTGCTTCCTGAAGCTTCTGCCTCCCTTACGGGGCCCGTCTTCAATCAGGAGTTGGTCTGGCCTGCGCCTGGGATTGTGAGGTGGGACCTGGCGGGGGGGCGGGTGTCACGTCCCCCCTGCCTTTGTCACTGGCACCACCCCTCCCCCGCAGGTGCAGGTGGGAAGCACAGCTCAGGACCAAAGAATCGTCGGGTACATCACCTGCACGCACCTGCACGCCCTGCCAGGTAAGCGGCCGCGCGGGCGCGGGGGGCGGGGCGCGGCGGGGCGCGGGGCGCGGGGCGGGGCCGCAGCGTCAGCCCCTGCTCCCACCCCCACCCGCAGAGGACAGCGCCATCCGCTGCGAGCAGCTGGACATGCTTCAGGACTGGCTGGCTGATTTCCGAAAATCTACCTCCTCGTCCAGCACAGCCAACCCCGAGGAGCTGGTGGCGTTCGACGTCATCTGCGGAGACCTGAATTTCGACAACTGCTCGTCGGGTGAGGGCCGGGCCCGCGCGGCGCTTCCCCGGGAGCACGGGGGTGGGATCTTAGCAAGACTGTGATTTCTCCGCCCCCTTCGAAATCCTAGAACGGGAAGAGCCCACGCGCTGCCTAGAAAGCTCCGGGGCCTCCTTGCTGGAGACAAAGAGACGCCCTAAAAAAGAACCCCTGCAGGGAAGGCCTGCCCACCCCCCTCCCCGCCCCCGGCGCGCACAGGGGGCGCTGACGGTGCCCCCTCAGCTTCCCCCCCCCCCCCCCCCGCCGTGGTCTATGCCCGAGGCATGGGCATATGCCTGAGCCCTCAAGACAGAAACAGTGGTGAGGCCAAGGTCACACAGCTGGACCTGAACGCGGGAAATCACCCTGTAAACCGCTAAACCCTCTAGCGAGTTCACGGTGGGTGCAACTGGCACGGTTGGCTTCTGTGGCTCTTCTGTGAGCCAGAGGACAGCGCTAGTGCCAGGGCCCCCCTGGAAGCTGGGCCGTCTCTGTACCTCCCTGGCCAGATGTTGCCGGATGTTGCGGCCAGGAGACAGCTCCCCCCCCCCCCCCCCACGAGGTTCCTCCCACATTGGCCACAGCCCCCAGGAGCTTGAGGCTGACAAGGCAGGAAGCGGTGGTGAGAAGTGCCCCTCACAGCGCTGGCCTCCGTCCTTGGGGGTCTCCGGAGGCTTCTGGCCATGGGCTCTGTGGGCTCCACCTGCCCTCAGTCCATGTGGGTTTGCCACAGGAGGGTCCACGGGCACGGCCTCTGCCAGCAGAAGGCTGAGGGCGGACTGGTTGCGGGGCACCACCATGAATCAGTTCCTGGTGGGCACAGGACAGACCTGAGCCCACTGCATCCCCCTGCTCCCTCCCTGCAGATGACAAGCTGGAGCAGCAACACTCCCTGTTTACACGCTACAAGGACCCCTGCCGCCTGGGGCCTGGGGAGGAGAAGCCCTGGGCCATTGGTGAGCTGTGGGGACAGCTGGGGGGTAGGGAGGGGAGGACCTGCCCTACGGCCCCTGCAGGAGCCCAGTGCTTGGGAAGGCTGCCTGTGCCCACCGTGCTTTCCCCTTGCCCGCAGGCACCCTGTTGGACCAGGATGGCCTCTACGACGAGGATGTGGCCACCCCTGACAATCTGCAAAAGTGAGCAGCTCCCCCCTCCCGGGATGAACCAAGCCCTAACTTGGGTGCAGGGGAGATGTATGTGCAGGGAAGAGTGCTGGGTGGGAGTCGGGGCTCAAGGGGCCTGGCCCAGACTCAGGTTCGTCCCCGCCCACCTCTGAGAGCTGAGGACTATTGTCCCCAAAGCAAGCAGAAAGCGGGCGGGGCAAGATGTAGAGGTCCCAGTGACGGCCACGCCTGTGATGGGACACTCCTGACCCAGCACCTGTGTCCAGGCTCCACCACACTTTGGCCTGCTCGAGCCCCACCTGCCTTGGGTTCCTGCTGAGGACAGGAAACGGGACGGCTGCCCAGGCCCTATCGCAGAGCCCTGGGGGCGTCGGTGCCTGGGAGCCCCCAGCTGGCGTTAGCAGAGAAGGGGCAGTCAGGGGCAGTCCAGTCACTGACATCGCGCCAGCTCAAGACATGCACAGGACACGTGCCGGCACGGGGCTCTGCCTCCTGCAGCTGGCTCCAGCCCAGCCATCAGATTACAGACTAAATTTGAAACATCAGCCTCTGCAGAGCAAATGGTCTTTTTATGAGATGATGATTAAGAACTATCAATAACTCCCGGATCGTTGATGCTGGACTTAATGATCAAAGGCGAAGGCGGTGGCGGATGATCTGGGGCTCTGGGCGGCGCTCTGCATGTCGCCAGCCTGTTTCCCCCCAGGCTGGGGCTCTGGAGACCCAGGTGGCAGCTGGCCCAGCTCCTCCTGCCCTGGCACCTCCTACCCCAGCACTGTCTGGACCCTGGAGGAAAGCTGGCAGGGAAGAAGTTGGGTTGGACTGGGGGCGAGGCCCCGTCCAGGCACCTCCTAGCACCCTGCCCTTACTATGGTCTCTGCTGGACATGGGCCTGCAGCTGTATCCCATGTGGCCCAGTGCATGGCTAGTGACCCCTGCTGGCCTGAAACAGATCAGGAGAGGGCTGGGGGATTCTGAGAGGAGGGCTGCGCTGTAAGTACCCTCCCATCACACACACACACACACACACACACACACACACACACACACACACACACCAGCTGTTCATCCCCCCCAGGCTGAGAGGAGCCAGGTCCACGCTTGTAGCCACAGCCACAGAGCCTTCCACAGGGAGGGTGAGGGGCCAGAGACAGTGGGCAGGGACTTGCCTTGCATGTGGCTGGCCTGGGTTCGATCCCCAGCACCACATCTGGTCTCCTGAGCACTGCCAGTGTGGCCCCCAAAACCAAGAGTTGAGGGCAGACAGCACCCTGTGCCCCCACACATCCCCCCCCCGGCCCCGACTTCATCCTCTTTCCTGGCCCCTGGGAACCAGGGGAGGGTGGGAAACAGGGAGCCAGACTCCTGGGGCCCACCTCGCACCTCCTGTGTGTGCAGGGTTCTGGAGAGCGAGGAGGGTCGCCGGGAATACCTGGCCTTCCCCAGCAGCAAAAGCCCAGGGGGGTGCCAGAAGGGGCGCAAGGACCTGCTGAAGGGCAACGGCCGGCGCATCGACTACCTGCTGCACGCCGAGGAGGGGCTGGGCCCCGACTGCAAGGCCGTGAGTCGGGGCGGGGAGCAGCAGCAGGGGACCCCCCGGGCTTCACTCCCCCCCCACCAAGTCCCAGAGCCCCGCGCCCCACCCACCCCCCTGCCGGATGCCCTCCGGGTCTGACCGGCCGGTTCTGCCCACAGGATGTGGAAGAGTTCATCTTTGTCACCCAGCTGGCGGGCCTGACTGACCACATCCCGGTGGCCATGCGACTGATGGTGTCTTCGGGAGAGGAGGAGGCTTAGAGTGGCCCCGTCACCAGGAGCAGCGGGCTCCGCCGGCTCTCGGAGCTTCGAGGGGGGCCCTGCCTCGGGCCCCCTCCTCTCGACAGCAGCACCTCCCGGTGCCGGGGGAGCCACGGCCCGTGCCCACGCGCTGGATGCCCTGCACCTCTGTGCTCCGGCCTCGGCCCGGTGGAGCCAGGCCCGCCCGGGGCCCCGCTGCCCAACCAGTGCCATTCTTCGACCACGAGATTTTCTACGATTCTACAGCACAACCTAGTTTGTACGCAGTGGGTCAGTGTGGGAACCGGGGTTCCGGACTCTGTATCTCCTCAAGCTTCGTCCAGGGTTCATTGTCCTCGTCTGCTGCCATGTTGTCTCGCATGCCCGCACCCTCGCATGCACGCAGTCCGCATGCCACGTGCCACGCCGTAGCCACAGACCCCTCACTCGGGCCTCACCCAAGGCCGAACTCCAAACACAATCAGAACCAGCCAAAGAAGCACTTCCCGGGCACAGGGCTGCCAGCCAGCCCCCGCCAGCCTCCACGGCGCGTAAGCCAGGCAGGGCCTCCCCGGGGCCGTGCATTCAAGGGTGGTCACGCGGCCGAGGAAAGGCACAGTGCAGCCTGACGGCCAGCCTTCCTGCCTGCTGGCGCTGAGATGGGCAGGCCCCGCGGCTCCAGTGGTGCCCGACGCTGGCCCCGGCCCGATTGGGAAGGCAGAGGGCATTACCTTTTTACAGGAAGAACTCATGGGGGGAGGGAGGGGGCTCCTGGTTTTGAAAATAAGATTTGTAGCTTCTTTTCGATCAGAACCAACACTTGCTCTCTGCCTGGCCATCTCCCTCCCACCCTTCCCCGGGGACCATCATCCCCCCCCACCGGCTGGCTGAGCTCAGGAACCATCTGCCCCCTGTGGGTGGGGCAGGCCAGGGCAGCAGGGGCAGGGCCCCCTGTGTGCCTGGAGCCAGGCACAGGGTTGACTGGTATCCAGCACACTGCTGGCCACTGGGCCACCAGGGCGGCCCAGGACCCGCAACCCAGGCCTCCCACCCCTTTGCCCTTAACACACCCAGAGACATAGCAGACCCCAAGTCGACCCCCCGAGCCGGGTGCAAGGCTTCTCCCCTGGAGACTGTTCTCAGCCACCCCGACTGACCTTGTGCCCAGCCCACGATGCTGTGCCTTGTCCCCGCAAGCACCAGCCCCGCGCAGGTGCGGATGGGGCGGGCCTATCTGGAGACACTGTCTGAGGTGGCACCAATCTGCCTGCACCCCCCCGGCCTGGCCATTTCCCTGGCCAGCTCCAATCTCCCCCACCCCGTGTCGGGCTGCTCTGCCTGGCTGGGACTGTGCCCCCTCCTCCAGGGTTTTTGGCGAGGCTGCGTGGGGGCACCAGGCCCCCACTCGCGGGTGGAGCCCCAGCCTGGGAATGGCTGCGGGGAGACAGGCCGGGGCGCCTGACACAGCCAAGTCCCAGCGAATGTCCCGGCCTCGGATGGCTGCCTGCAGCAGCCAGCCCGGCCCACAACTCCCAGGGTGGCCTTGGGCCAGTCTCACCTCCTGGTGCCTGGCCAGTTCCGGCACCTGGAGCAGGGACGGACACCTGCCCTCAGACCACCCACTGCGGCCGAGGCACGAGGCCGCCCTGGCCCACTGGCGCCCAGGGCTGCGCACAAAGCCAGACCTTTTCCACTTTGATTTTTTCAAGAGAGCCGAGGGATTTGTGGCCTCTGGTCCTGGGAGGGGCCGGGACTGGCATCTGAGGCCCCGCAGAGACTCCTCGGGAGAGGCCAGCAGGTGGGGTCAGTCTCCAAGGAAACGGCCACCTTCATTTGTCCAACCACCCTGAGTTTTAAGTATAAATATTAACCTAAGGCTTTTTAACTATTGTATTAACTTGCTGAAATTTAGAAATACTGTTTTAAAGAAAAAAAAAACTTTTTTAATTTCTGTATTTTTTTCTGTATTGTATCCTCATGGGACATTAGGGGTTTTCTATGTAAGCACACCTAAGGTTTTGGTATAAACATTATCAACTATATCTCCAGACGATTCTTCCCTAGAAGAAAAAAAAAATCTTTACACCTGATAAATATTTTGGAAAGAGAGGTGTTCTTCTCCTTTACTGGTGCTGAAAGGAAGGATGGCTATGTGGACAAAATAAAACTGTGAGGCTCACGGCTGGTGTCTGCCACTTATTTGTACTAGCGGAGATGCAGAATCATGGGGACCCTCTCCTGCCACCCCCTGCCAGGATGCCCATGATTCAGATCTACCCCGAACCCCAACAGGAAGTTAGACAGCAGGGGCTCATTGTTTCTTTTTTTTTATCTTGCTTTTTGGGTCACACCTGGCAATGCACAGGGTTTACTCCTGGCTCTGCGCTCAGGAATTACCCTGGTGGTGCTCAGGGGACTATATGGGATGCTGGGAATCGAACCCGGGTCGGCCGTGTGCAAGGCAAACGCCCTATCCACTGTGCTATTGCTCCAGCCCCAGCAGGGGTTCTTTCAGTTGGGGGGGGGGGGGGTCTTCTCTCCCCAGCACAGTCCCTGAGTGTGGGGAGACCACCCAGAGAGGGACAGGCGGCGAGATGGGGCGCCCACTCCCTCCCCAAGGGGCGTCTCAGGGCTGGGAAAAGCGCGTGGGGACTTCCCACCCCTCAGCCTGTCCCACCGGGGTCTGCGAGGCCCAGATTCTGTGCCAGCTGCTGTCAATGCCCAGCAGGCAGCCCAGGGGCTCTGTGTCTAGTCACGAAGGGCTCCTCAGACCCAGAGCAGGGTGGGAGCAAGCAGGAGCCAGCAAAGGTGCCCGGAGCCGTCACTGCCCTCTGGAGAAAGCCACACGGTTCTCACCCAGAGCCCTCGGGCACTTTATTCCTCACAAGCAAGAGTCAGTGCCCGAGTCCGGAGTGTCTGAGAGTGAGAAATCCATGGTGACGTCGCCCGTGTCGGGGTGAAACTCCACGGAGTAGCCTACTGTCCGGGGGCCGCCTGGCAGCACGGTGGGGTCCAGTGTGGGGCTGAAGAAGTACACGGCCTGCTTGCAGTGGGGGTTCCAGCGACAGGCCCCCTGCGGGAGGGGCAGCGAGCAGTGGGTGAGGGCACCCTCAGGTCCCACCCCCAGCCCCCCCGGAAGCTGGGCCTGCCCTACCTGCTCCTCCGCGGGTTTCAGGAGGCCGGTGCTGACCGAGCTGTCGGGCGTCAGGCGGTACTCCATCCACAGGACGGCTCCGTGGCACCTCCCGGGCCTGGAGCAGCGAGCGGGACAGGACTCAGCATCATGGCCCGGCCCCTCGGGCCACTGCTGTCCCCCACTCACAGAGGCCAGGGGGCGAAGAGCAGACTGAGGGGCCATGGCCCGCAGCCTGCCCAAGAGCTCAGTCCCCCCAGGGCTGGCCAGTCCCGCTCGTCCTCAACTGCCTTGGCCTGAGTTCACAGAAATGTGGGTGCAGGAGGCTGGGAGGGTGGCCCCCCGTGCCGGGAGAGCACTAGGCATGCGGGACTGATGGTTGCCCGCCCACCGCGTCCCAGGGTCCACCTCACCCACTCATGGGGGCTGGGGCTGAAGGGCCAGACGGGGCATCATCACTGACAGCCCCAATTCCCAACGGGCTGCAGCTCCCAGGCGGGCACAGGAATGGGGCGGGGGGAGGGGGAGCAGGTAACCATGGCAACCCAATGTCAGGCTCTGCGGCTGTGATGCACTGAGCCACGGAGCTCCACGCAGGGACCAGCAAAGCCCGCTGCAGCCCGTCCTTCCTCCCTCCCCCCCCGCCCTGGGAACCAAACTCACCTCCTCAGCTCCATGGAGCCCTGGGCCCGGATGGGCTGCAGGGGCACTGGCTGCCGGAAGTCAAAGGTGAGGAGCTGGCGGGGGTCGGAGAGGCTGCGGCAGGGGTACTCCCACAGGGGGTGCGGCTCCGCCTCCTTACTCTCCCGAAAGTCCAGGGCCTGCTGCGGAGGGACAGGGTAGGGGTCTGTGGGGACAGCTGGCAGCACAGCCTACGCCTCTGGTGCCTCAGGGCACTTGCCCCAGGCAGGTGGCACCAAGTCCCCACAGAAAGGACCCCCGACACCTGGGGCTGCTCCTCTCAGCCCTCTCCTCAGCGAGGGGCCTCACCACACTTCGGCTTCCTCCCCTTTCACGGGGCAGGTCACGCCACCCAGCTCGTGGGCTACCTGGAAGACCATGTCTACACTCGGGAAAAGCCCTGGGGCTTGAACATGTGCCCACTCAGTGGTCTTCTGCGGGGGTGGGGGAGCAGGGTGGTCACACCTGGAGGTACAAAGCCAGAGCAACCCAAGCACAGCACCGGGCTCCCACTTGCAAGCACCTGCCCGCACTGCCCCAAAGAGAAGCTTGTCTCCACACCAGAGCCTGCAGCCTCGGGGGCTGGGTGGGCGCTGCGGCCCTACCTTGATCATATCATCCATGATGTGGACATCAAAGCCTTCGCAGCTGCCGCAGGGGCTCCGGATCCGCCACAGGTCCTGTGAGGAAGGCGTGATACTGTCAAACCCCCAGCTCGAGCTCGAGCGGGCCCAGTAACGTCTCCATTGGAGATTTTTTTGTTACTGTGTCTGGCATATCGAATACGTCACGGGGAGCTTGCCAGGCTCTGCTGTGCGGGCGAGATACTCTCGGTAGCTTGCCGGGCTCTCCGAGAGGGGCAGAGGAATCGTACTCAGGTCGGCCACGTTGGCTGCGTGCAAGGCAAACGCCCTACCGCCGTGCTATCACTCCAGCCCATACTCCCCAGCAGGGCGGGGCAAAGGCACCCAAAGGGCCACAGAGGATCAGGGCGACAGGGCTAGGAAAAGGCCGGTGAGGTGGGGCCCGGAGTGGTGCCAATCCCCAACATGAGGCACGTCCCGTGGTTCCCAAACTCTTGAAAGAGAACCAGGAGGCTGGAGGGGCTCGGAGACCCCCACACACAAGACACTCCCTCTTGGACTCTGCAGGCTCACAGGACCCCAGTCCCAGGGAGGTCCCAAGAGTCCCGCCTCCCTCAGTCTACACCCCTGAACACGCTTCTTGAGGGACAAGTCTGTGATCTGGGACAGCAGAGGGAAGGGCCGGAAAAACGCCCCGAATGGGCACCGCTCCACCATCCCCCTTTGGCTATGGGAACCAGACAGGGAAATCTGATCAGGGAAATCAGATTCACAGAAGAAACGCCCAGGAAATAAGTGCCAGCACCATGCGGCAACCGGTGGAGAAAGACTTTCTTACAAAGAGACGCCAAATGAAGTGCACTCCACGTTTCAGGTTAAAAGCATTTACAAAAGCTTTTAATAAAAAAAAAAAAGAGGGGGGAAGGAAGGGGGGGAAATAAAAGTGCTTTCCCAAAATGACTTTGTGCTTTGATGAGAAAATTAAAATGAAGCTTTTCAGTTGTCTTGCAGAAAGCGGCTCTCTCTCAGGACGCACTTAACAAGCACGGCCTCGGCTGTGACGAGCAGAGCCTGCTGCACAGCGCGCCTTCTGAAACGCTGCATTTATATTTTTTAATTATTCTGATAAGCCATAATTGCCGAATGACAACACAGCCATTTCCATTTCAAATGTCAAATTACTGCCTTTTGAAAAAGGCGAGTCTCTCGGCTTCAACCCTGTGTGGTGCTGAGACAAACAGCAGAAGACCAAAGTGTCAGGTGTGAGTCACACCACGGGCACCCGAGGCCTCTGCAAGAAAATGAGGTGCCCGGGCACCACCCTGTGCCCCGCCACCCTCCTGCCCGAACCTCTGGGTCACCTACCCTGAACTCCACGACCACCACGTGCAACGAGGCTGCCTGGGGCATCACGGCGGCCCCAGGCTCCAGGAGCTGGGCCACAGCTGTCCGCACGTACCAGAAGTAGAGGTTGTGCCACGGCAGCAGGCTGGTGGTGAAGAAAGGCTCGCCCAGCAGGACAGAGACCTGGCAGGCAGGGGAGAGGGGATGGGGGGTCAGGCGGATCCGGCGAGAGGAAGGACAGGGGCCAGAGAGACAGCATGCTGGGGGGAGCGCCTGCCTTGCACACAGCCAACCCGGGTTGGGGTTGGGTCCCCAGCCTCCCATACGGACCCCGAGGACTGCCAGGAGTGAGCCCTGAGCGCAGAGCCAGGAGGAACTCTGAGCATTTCCAGGTGTGGCCTCCAAAACCAAAAAAAAAAAAAAAAAAAAAAGGAAAGGTGGAAGAGAGGACACAGATTTCACAGGACACTCGCTCACCAGCCGAGCATGCTGGGCTTGCAGCACAACGGGGCAACACAAGACGCCGGCCCTGCCCTCAGTGGCACAGTGACCAAGAAGCAAATAAGAAAGGGAAGGGGGAGGGGCAGCAGAATAAGAGCATCAGGAAGGCCAGGGCATGTCTGGTGTCCCCCAATTCTGAGGGAGAGGATGTTGGCAGCACAGACTTTCCAGCAACGTGTCTGACCCAGAGCAAACGGGCCAGGGGCTGAGTGTCAGCAACGGCTGCAAACAGGGCTGTGCGGGTCGCACAACTGTTTGTGTGGTCCTTGCTGTTCTTCGGTGCCAGGGATCAAACCTGCCGGGCACGTGCCCATACCCCATACCCCAGGCCCCAGCACAGCTCTTCAAACTTACAAAAGACCCAGCTCCAATAGGCAGCAGCAGTGGTTTCCCACAGCGCCCGTGGGCTGCAGACCCTCCCTTCCTGGCCGCCAAACAGTTACCCCTACTCATTGGGTCTGCAGGTGCAAAACGGCTGGCTGGACCGGGGCCAGAGCAAAGTACAGCAGGGAGGGTGTTTGCCTGGCATGCGGCCAACTCAGGTTCAATTCCCAGCATCCCACAGGGTCCTCCGAGCACCACCAGGAGTGATTCCTGAGTCAGGGCCAGAAGTAGCCCCTGAGTACCGTCAGGTGTGGCCCCAAAAGAAAAGCAAACCAAAAAAAATCCCAAAACGGTTGGAGCCCACTGCAAGAGGCTGAAGGGAGGGTCCAACCTTCCTTGCACGTGGGAGGTGTGGGGTTTGATCACTGGTATCAGGTGGCCCCCAGGCACTGCCAGGTGGGTCACAGAAATGACAAAGATGACCACACCCTCAACTAGATCGAGACCGTTAAAAACAAAGCAATCAATCATCAACAGATAGGCTTGTACTGATTTATTTTCTGGTAATTCCATCATTTGACATTCCTTTTTCCTTTTTGCTTCCTGGGTCACACTGAGCAATGCACAGGGGTTACTCCTGGCTCTGCACTCAGGAGTTACTCCTGGCAGTGCTTGGGGGGACCACATGGGATGCTGGGAATCGAATGCAGGTCTGCCGTGTGCAAGGCAAACACCCTACCAGCTGTCTATCGCTGCAGCCCACCATTCCTTTTTGTTGGGGCGAAAAAAAAAAAACCAATTTGTTATATGCCTGCCAAGGGGGCAGGCCATGGGGTGGGAGGGAACCTGGGGACATTGGTGAAGGGAGGGGGGGACACTGGTAGTGGGACTGGTGTCGGCACACTGTATGCCTGAAATAGCTCTATTATGAACAACGTTGGAAATCAAGAAAAAATAAAAAGGAGATGACAAGAAAGGCAGTTCTTAAAGAAATTTAGGTCCAGAGAGACAGTACAGCATTTTCCTTACACATGGCCCACCAGGGTTCAATCCCTGACACCCAATATGGTCCACTAAGGAGTGATCCCTGGGCACAGAGCCAGGAGGAAGCCCTGAGCACTGCCGGGTGTGGCCCCCAAACAAATAATAAAATTGATTGAATCGTGTGCTTGGAATGGGTTTGTTTTATACGCGTGATGCCTATCGACTATTGCAATCAAGCTGTTTGAAGAAAGCAAGAGTCCGGCACGAGGGCTAGGCATGGGCAGCTGCAGCCCCAGCTGTGAGTGCCACAGAGTCCCACGCGGGAAGGGTGGTGGTCCCCGGGAGGGGAGAGTGTGGGCAACAACCTTCAAGAAGGGAAGTCCAGGGGCCGGAGCGATAGCACAGCGGGTAGGGCGTTTGCTTGCACGCAGCCGACCTGGGTTCGATTCCCAACATCCCATACGGTCCCCCGAGCACTGCCAGGAGTAACTCCTGAGTGCAGAGCCAGGAGTAACCCCTGTGCATCGCTGGGTGTGACCCAAAACACAACAAAAAAATAAATAAAAAGGGAAGTCCAGGAAGAATCAGAAGGAGCAGATAGAGGGATGAGCGGGAAACGGGACAGGCCTGTCAGGAGGTAGATGGGGGAGCCGGGGAAGAGCAGGCAGGGAGGCTGTCCCCATGCAGCCCCCGTCTCTGAGGCATGAGAGGAAGCAGCAGGGGACAGGGGTTGTGAGGCGGGAAGCTGAGGCTCCCCCCTGCTCGCCCCCACCGGCACGGGCAGAGACCAGCACCGGCACTGGCGCCTGGGCATCTCTGCCAGGGCCTGCCCCGCCCTACTGGGTGGTGAGGGCGAGCTGGCGAGCGCCCTCCAGGAGAAGGGGGGCTCTGGGCCACCCCAGGGGCTTCGCAGCCACGCACAGGCAGTCTGCCAACTCACCTTTTTGCCTTCCAAGTCTTCAGACGTTAGTAACTCGGGCCGTTTTTCTATGATATTAATTTTATCTTCCAAGTGGTTCGCCTTGAAGATCTTCGAGAGAAAATGAAAATTGCAGGTTTTGTTCAGGGAGAAAAAAAAAAATACCTCAAGGGCATTTTTTTCTGTTTGAAGTTTTCCAGTGAAATAGTTTCAGGAGATTTTCATGTTTTGTGGAAATTCTTTCTTCTCATCCCGTAGATGAGAGGGCCCCAAACTTACTGATGCCTGTTGCCCCCAGCACTTCCTGGAAGTCTCTTCATTAAGCAAAGAAAAAGCAGCCCTCACTTGCAGCGCCCCCGCATCCTAGTGCCCCCCCCACCATCAGGACCACCCCGCTGGGAAATGAGAAGTGTACTCATGCAGTGGCAGTGGTCCCGGGGAGAGCCCAACCCCCTGGCTTTCAAAGACCAAAACCATATGGATGGGAACAGCGATCAGATTCCAGAACCGGCCCGATAGGGCTGGAGCCCCAGAAACAGACCATAAATCCAGGTCCAGCACCACCAACAATTTATATGACGTGAGGAGAAAAGTCAACACGTTTCACACCACACGAACCAGGGCAGGGACAGAACCGAGCTCTGGGGTGGGGGCGGCTTCTCCTGGTGCCCTCGGCCCCCCAAGGTCCCCCAAGACCCCCTCAGCATTTCAGCAACAGTCAGCACTTACTTTTTTCATCAGTCTGTGTGAGGCAGCTGAGCTCTCGATTGTAAACACCTGAGGAGAACAGCAGGTGCTTAGCGGAAGGGAACCGAGAAACGCCTCACACAGCTCACTCAGACAGATCTACCTCCCCCCAGCAGGCGTCGCCTCAGAAGTCGGGGGGGGGGGGGCAGCACAGGGCACAGCTATGGCCTGACTCTTGCCCGCACACAGAAGGGACCATGCCCCGAGTCCCGGGACCAGGCACTGCCCCCGTGGGGAGGCAGGGGTAGGGGGGGCCGTGGGTACCTGCTGGGCGCCCAGGTGATGGGCCAGCATGGGGAGCAGACTGCCGTCGCTGACACACAGACAGGCCCCGCCGGGCTTCAACACCTGCAGGAAGAAGGCGGCCCCTCAGCTCCACGCCTGCCCTGGGCCTCAGCGGACCCCAGGGACTGAGGACTCCCGCCAACAGCCAGTCTGACCCTGCTCAGACTCTCTTGTTCCCCTCATGCCAACCCTATGGCCCCGCGGGACCACTAAGCATTCCAGCCCTTCCCATTTGCTGCCCAGTTCCACCCCCCCGCAAGCCCCTCACGTGCAAAGCCCCTCGGTGCCGACTGTGTACGCGGGGCCAGCTGCGGGGTTGTGGGCTGACTCGCCAGAGGCAAGGGAGCCTGTCACAGGGGAAGGCAGGACACTCTGGGCTCTGTGACCAGTCCCTGCTTATGCAAACACGTCCATCACACCCCCAGCCCCAAGTGGGCCCCCAGGCTAAGACACGCCACAATGATTGTGCAGGGAGCAGAAGTTTCCGGCAACGTCAGATGGTCAGATGGATGCTTGTGAGCTGATGATCAGACCAACAGCAGCTGCATCCCGCAGAATCGGCCCAGGACTATCCCCATAGACAGAGCGGGAGGCTCCCAGCCACAGCCAATAAGCCCAGTCACAGGCTCCCCCATCCACGGCCTCAGTGACCCCCAGAGATGAGGGAGTCCAGAAAACTAGCAAATCCCAGGCAAGCGATGAGCCGGGCCCGCGGGACTTGCTGGCCCCCAGAGCCACCCGTGGGGCCGGAACTCACAGTCCTCAGGGCCTGGGCGTACTGGTCCGTCCTGTCCTGATCGTTGATCTCTCCAAAGCGAGGCCGGTTCCAGAGGAGGTGAGCCTGGCAGTCACACACGGGGCGCACTGGCAGGGCTTTCCCGTTCTTTGCAGGGCTGCGCCAGGAAAGGAACAGTCATGGGGGGACAAGTGGAAGCGCTTGGCCCGGGGCCTGCCCACGACTAGCGCTCCAGGCGCCGGTCTCTCTGCCTTCTCCCACGGTGGCCCGCCTCTGACCTTGCTCCCACCCGGGTCCAAGGGCTGGCCCCGCACCTCGTGCCGCGGCTCCCTCATCTGCTCAGAGGGCACAAGGCATGACTCAGGATCTCAAGACTGCATCCAGGCCAGAGAATACTCAACCCCAGAGTTCCCGCACATCTGCTTCCCGGAACCAGTCCCAGGTACTCAAGCTGGGCAGATGTAATCACAAACCTCTTTTCGATTGTTTTTTTTTGGGGGGGAGGGTGGGGGCATGGAAGAGAGTGGAGCCATATCCAGCTGTGATCATCCTGGCTCTGCACTCAGGGGTTACTCCTGGCAGCTCTCAGAGAGCCATACGTGGTACCAGGACTTGAACCCGGGTCAGCTGTGTGCAATGGCAGGTGCCTTTCCCACTGTGCTATCTGTCCGGGGGCCTTGCAAATCTTTGATCTCATTTCACTCTGTTCAGATACAAATGTGACCACTCGGCCCCCACCACAGGGTCTGTTACCCGGGCATTTACATCGGCACCGCCACCACAGACCCCGGGTCCCACCCACAGGATTTGGGGCACACCTGGTCCTCTGAAGGCTGTACCAGACACAGTAGTCATCATGGTGGGCTACCAGACAGAGGGCCGAGCCCCGAACGACGGGCTCCTCTTGCGGCAGGAAGTACACACACTGCATCCAGTGGTCCCGCCACTGAAACACAAGAGCAGAGTCAGCAGGCTGCAGCCGGAGCACCCACTCCAGAGCAAGGAGTGGAACAAGCACCCATGCCAGGCCAGACAGCCACCACACCACACCACACCACACCACACCACACCACACCACAGGGCTGCTGTGGCCAAGGAGAATGGCCCCAAGAAGCTGGCTGCCTGGCTTAATTCTGTCACTGCCGCTGTCGGGGAACTGGCCTGTGTCAGCGAGCGCAGCCGCATACACCACTGGCCTAAACTCAACTGAAAGGCAGGGGAGTGAATTTACTGGAGCATAAAGCTAGAAAATAAAAATGTAACCAAGGATGTTGGGGGGGGGGGGGGGTGTCAGAAAAAGGCAGCAAAGCAGGCAAACAAAACAAGTTTTTTTTTTTTCTTTTTGGGTCACACCCGGCGATGCACAGGGGACCATATGGGATGCTGGGAATCGAACCCGGGTCGGCCGCGTGCAAGGCAAACACCCTACCCGCTGTGCTATTGCTCCAACCCCAAAACAAGCTCTTTAAAACACTAATTCATCCCCTCCGTGCAGACCCTGGCATGTGGCTCTGTCACCATGTCCCCACATATCAGCTTCCTGATCCAAAAGCCCAAGAGCTGCTGACAACCCACCGTGCTGGGCTGAGAATGTTTCAGGCCAGAGCCACTAGTGACACCTCCAATTTCAGCAGTCCAAAAGTCACGATGGACACAGGCGCCCTGTCAGAAGATCTGGGCAAGAGCTCAAGTCCCCACCACACAGACTCCCTGTGGCACCAACACGGGAGAAAATATACACAGTAGGACTTTAAAGATATGCAAAGGAGAACTTAATGAACATTTTTTCATTCTATTCTTATGTTAATTGTGCAACTGTGCACTCCCCTGGGAGGGAAAGGAAGCAGCCCGGTGCCACCTCAATTCTCTTTTTTGGGGTTTTGAGCCTCAGCTGGTGATGCTCAGGGATTACTCCTGGCTCTGCACCCAGGAATTACTCCTACTGGTGCTTGGGGGACCATACTGGATGCTGGGGATTGAACCTGGGTCAGCTGCGTGCAAGGTAAACACCTTACCTACCGAACTACCTCTCTGGCCCCCGTGGGAGAATTCTGACCCCCATAAGCCAGCCAACACATATGCACACGTACTCAGGTACACTGTTTAGATGCAAAGTCACTCAAATACACAAATACACATTTATTGTACCACACATTTGGGCATATTGCTTAAGAGGCAAATTCACCCTAACACACACACACACACACACACACACACACACACACACACACACGAAAACTTCCCTCACATTGCTTAGATGTAACTCACACTAGCAGGTCATGGAAGGCGAGCCCACCTATGCTCCCAGGCCCAGGAGGAATGCCAGTGACTCCTGCAGTCGGGGCCCTCTGGCTCACACAGCAAGTCAGACAACACTGCTCTGGCAGGGCCTTCCCCAGGTCACGCCGGCCTGAGATCCGGCAGGCGAGCAACCAGACCAAAGCCTGCAAGTGCCCAGCCAAGTGGAGAGGGGCAGAGAGAAGACAGGAAGGTGCCTGGACGGTGCCAGAGACTCCCAGAGGGAGGGAAGGTCCCATTCCTCCAGCCGGGAGCCGATTTCCTCTGAGCGTGCACACAGCAGGGTAGTTAAGGCATGCACGGGAGAGGAAATTCAAAGAGCTAAAAGGGTTGTAGGATGAAAGATAATCTCCCTGTCCACTTCTAATCTCTAGCTCCCTGCTCAAAAATAAGCTTTCATCAGTTCCCAGACATTCTTCCGAGGATATCCTCATGCACACACGTCCCTGAGAGCCCTGTCTCGGCCACGCTCGTGTTGGCACACCCCATGCTGCTCCGCGTCTGTTTCTGCTCTACTTAACCATATATCCTGGGGATGGTTCCCTGTGGGAGCACAGAGCTCAGCATCCGTGAAACAGAGGCAGGATAACGGACTCTGCCCGTCTCCTCCTGGGGCGTCTGGGCAAAAAAGTCTTCTCCGTTCCTGCAGAGCTGCGAGGAGCACCCTGGCAGGCACGTCACTGTACACACGTCAAAACCCATCCAGAGCTTCAGAGCCTGGAAGGAGTGTCACCTCCTGTGTGACAGTGACACGGGCTGGCTGCATTCTGGGTCCCTACGATGCCTTTTCTCTGCCAGCAGTGCGCTACCAGCCCTGTGAACCTTACTCAGCCCTGACAGGCAGACACAGGCATCGCCCCAAAGTTTGAATTCACTTTCCCCTTTGAGCGAGGCTGGGAGGCTTTCACACGGTCAGGGGTCAGCTGTACTTCTGTGATGGTTCATGTCCTCTGTTCACATCTATTAAGCTGTAGAAGGTTGATCGGAGGCCACAGGAAGTGAGGCTGCAGACAAGCCACAGAGGTCTCCACTCCCAGTAGGACCTGAGGACCCCTGGGGTTCCCATGGGGTGCCAGGATTCGGCAGTCAGGACAGAGAAGTGCCTGCGGCTCTGTGTAGCAGGCCGACCAGGGACTCGCCCGGGAAGTCTATCGCACTGCAGGAAGCCTTGCTTTTTTTTGTTGCTGTTTTGGTTACATTTTGGGGACATATCTGGCAGAGCTCTGGGGCAACTCTCAGCTCTGGGCTAAGTGGTCGCTCTGGAGGTGCCTGAGGGACCCTGCAGTGCTGGGATCGAACCCAGTATGCAAAGCATGTGTGCACTCTGTAAGCTATCTCTCTGGCAGAGCTTTGCGAAAACACTCTTCCTGGGCCAGAGAGCTGAGTGCACGCTCTGCACAGGAGCCTAAGGGTCAGTGTCCAGTACGCACAGTCCCCGAGCACCGCTGGGTGTCACCCAAAAGTAAAGACACTGATTTTCACACATTCCCTTCTGTCCCAGATTCTTGGGAATCTAAGATTCGACATGCAACTGTGCCACAACTGAAAGCGCCCAGATTTTCTGACAAGAAACCATGCTCAGCTCTTGCCTCTTACCTGGAGCTCCTCTGGGTCTGAGTGCGCCCAGAAGGGGGCCATGGTGCACTTGATCTTCCCTTCGGGGTCCATTTCGATGTCCCACCAGGAGAGGACCACCTGAGCACGGCCGGATGCCAGCACCTGGAACTGCCTGCTGTGGCAGGCTGCGGCGCTACTGACTTGCTTGCTGAAGTCCACACTAAGAAAGCACACGCGAGAACTTAGGCCACCGTGGGGACTTGGCCAGCCCCAGGACTGGATGGCAATGGACACCTGCCGCCAGAGGCAGCCGCCTTCAGCTGCCATCCTTCCCACTCAACAAGGACTCCCAAAGACCCCGGGGGTGCACCGCCTGTCCCAAGACACCCTCCGTGGATGGCTCCCTGGTACCTGAACATGGGCAGCACATCGCTGAGGACCGTGAAGTCAGCAGGGGACACCTGGTTCAGCTGAATATCATAGACAGACGGGGCACCCGGGCACCGCTCAAGTTCCAAGGGGGGGATGATGACCTGCTTCCCGACGCTGGTCTCCACATGAACTGGAAACAGCTTGTTCCATGACCACATCTTTCTGGACTCCACCAGCTGTGCGTAGACAGTGGCCCTGTGTGGCACTGCCTCACAAGGGTCCTGGGTTCGCATTGAAAAACAAAAGCAAGACACGCGTTTGCCATTACCCGTATACGTGACCTATAGTAATCCCCACTGATGCAAACGGCTTTGCTTGTTCTGGGCAGGGGCACACCCAAGGTGCTCAGAGGCCATCCCTGCACAGGAGTTGACCCCAGGCGGTGTTCGCTGGGGGGAACCGAGTGGAGTGCCAGGGACTGAATTGTAGTCGGCTGCAGGCAAGGCGAGCAAGTGCCTTAACCCCTGTACTATCTCGCCAGCCCCTGAACAAAACAGTTTGTTCCTTAACGTTACCTGGTTGAGTAATAACTAACACTTTAGCAGGATGAGACAGTGAACTCTTTTCAGCCCTATACTCTTGGAAAAGAAAAAAAAAGAAAGAAAGAAAGAAACCAGGTTTCAAAAAGAACATATGCTACGCCGACAATGACTTATGTCAGGTAAGTTCCCAGCTACCTGACACTCTTAAATACTTCAAAAATAAACCTTAATTGTCATCATGCCATTAAACTCCCACACTGACTTGGGGAAAAAAAAAAAGGAGTCCAAGTCTTACTGCTCTGCGGTAATTCTGGCACCAGCACTCCCCCCGAGCGCAGCTCTAACCCAGACTCCAGAACCTTCTGATTCCATAGCCCAGTGGGCAAGTGTCCATCCTTCCCTGACCTAACCTTCCGGACCACTCATTTCCCCCCATCTCCTCCCCAAGTATCTTCAATCTCTCTGTCCTCACTGACCACAAGCGTGTATCTAAAGTCTCTTGGTCTCCTCTACCTGAGAAGCCTTCAGACAGCTCAAATTTTCTGCCCGGGGACTAGAGCTAGTACAGTGGGTAGGGTGCTTGCCTTGCATGTGGCCAGCCCAGGGTCTAACCCCAGCATGCCATTTGTTTTTGGAACACCGCCAGGAGTGATCCCTGAGTGCAAAGCCAGGAGCACCGCTAGATGTAGCCCCCCCCCCCCAAAAAAAAAAGCAGACAGAAAAATAAAAAACTTTTAAGTCTACACTGTCTGAAAGGAAAGTATCTGTGAGCACTGCTGCGGCATCAACAGAGAACATTCAAAAGCTGAATGGAAGGGCCAGAGAGAGAGGACAGCGTGTAGGGCATTGGTCTTGCATGCAGCTGACCTAGGTTCAATCCCTGAGCAATGCTGGGTATGGCCCCAGACAACAACAAACAAGGCCTTTCTTTGGGCTGGAGAGATAGCACAGCAGGCAGGTGCTTGCCTTATCCAATCCCATATCACATGTGGTCCCCATATGGTCCCGAGCATTAGCAGGAATATCTGGACCCCTGAGCACCACCAGGAGTAAGTCCTGAGCACAGCCAGAGAAGGCCCCCAAAACAAAAAAAAAAAAAAATAAGCACAATGAAATCCTTTTCTTCTTAAACAAAAAAAGCAAGATCAATGCTTCCAAGTTGCATTTCCATCGTATTTCTCCCTAAAACCCTGCAGGACTGTCACCGCCCAGGCTCCTTCACCCAGAAGGGCTGGCATTTAAGGCACCTGCCCTCTGGCTTCACTCCCCCAGCGACGACCTCATCAACATACCACACAGGTTCTCTGCCCCGAAGGCCGCTCCTTACACACTCTCACCTCCTTCCTGACCCAGGGCTCTTCTGCCGGCCCTAACCCGAGTGTCCTGCTCCTTCTCTCAGGCCATCCCGGCCTCACCCCTGCTGATTAGTGCGAGTTAGAAGTGAAAGACCCCCGTTGAGTCTAACCAATAGCAAAGAAGGCTCCACCAGCACTAACCAGTGCGGCAAATCCTCAGACTACAACTCAGAAACATCACTGCGAGATAGGGCAATTACCACTGACTCTTACTGGTCTAAGTTTTGATAATTCTATTTGCCCGCGTGCTGTAACGAATAATATGAAGTACACTTCTTTGTGCCTGCAAGGCTGGGGTGGGTGGGAAACTGGGGACATTGGTGGAGGGAAGGTCACACTGGTTGTGGAACACTGGATGCTTAAAACAACTCTATGATGAACAACTTGCAGTAATTTTTTTTTCTTTCTGGGTCACACCTAGCAATGAACAGGAGTTACTCCTGGCTCTGCACTCAGGAATTACTCCTGGCAGTGCTCGGAGACCATATGGGATGCTGGGAATCGACCCGGGTGGGCCGCGTGCAAGGCAAACGCCCTACCCGCTGTGCTATCACTCCAGTCCTGTAAATAAGTAATTTAGTATAAGTAAATAATAAACAATAAATTTATAATAAAAAAGTTTAAAAAAAAAGCACAAGGGCTGTCTGGGCAGGCAAGCCTGCACCTCACTCCCAGGGGCACCCGAACTGTCACTGTCACTGTCCTCCCATTGTTCATCGATTTTCTCGAGCGGGCCCAGTAACGTCTCCATTGTGAGCCTTTGTTGTTACTGTGTTTGGCATATTGAATACGCCACGGGTAGCTTGCCAGGCTTTGCTGTGCGGGCGAGATACTCTCGGTAGCTTGCCGGGCTCTCCGAGAGGGGCAGAGGAATTGAACTCAGGCCAGCCTGGCCGGCCGCGTGCAAGACAAACACTCTACCGCTGTGCTATCGCTCCAGCCCACCCGAACTGTAACTGCACCTAAACAGCGCAGCCGGCCTTTCCACTCGCGCCACCAAAGCCCAGCTCAGGAGAAACTGCCCTTGCAGGACTGGAGGGATATTCAGGATAAATGGAGATACAGAGATCCTGTCAAGAAGAACGGGGGCATCCATGTAAACTGGGCTGAGCTGGCTGAGGGCCCCGCAGGCCTGGTGCTCACCTGCACGAGGTGCCTGTGTGCGTGCTCATAGGAGGGCAGTGCGCCCTCCCCAATCAGCTCTGTGTCGAAGAGCTCTGTGACCAGGATGTTGGCGCGGCAGGGCAGGTCACCACCTGAGGAACATAAGAGCCTGTGTCAGCGGTAAGCAGCAGGCGAAAGAAAGGCTTAGAGCATGTAGGCCAGAAGAAAAACAAGCTACTCTGTCATTAAATTGAAAACGTATAAGCTGAAATACAGAAATATGTCATAATGTTGACAACTTCCCATGGTTCAGAAAAAATGTATATAAAAATATACTTTATATATATTTTATGTACATATATTTGTACATATAAATATATGAATATATATCCATTCTGATACATATAAAATAATCGGCAAATACATAATGAAGGAGACGTTACTGGTGCCTGCTCGAGGCAATCGACGAACAACAGGATGATCGTGATCGTGATATAACAATTGGCATATAGTCCCTTAGTTAACCAACCAACCATAAGGAAGATCACAATACTACTACTTTTTCGTATGCTTGATTTTCCAAGGGACTTAGAAAACCACCAAGAAGAGCATAAATACCTGCCCCTCCCGGAAATAAAAAACAACTAAAGTATACATAAATACCTGAAAACAGAAAAGATAGTAATTACATATATAGAATATTTTCCATTCTTTCATTTATGTTTTTTTGGGGGGACACAACTGGCAGTGCTCGGGGACTACTCCTGGCTCGGTGTTCAGGGGTCATTCCCAGTGGTGCCGGGGGAACACGCAGTGCTGGGAATCAAAGCTGGGTCTCCCGCATGCAAAGCATACGCTCTAGTCCTTCGCATTATCTTCTAGACACGAATTTTTCATTCTAATTAGCAACTGGAGAGAATTAATGACTAAACTGTTAACTATTAGCAAAACTATTTAAAAAGCAAAATTGAACACTAATCCCTCAGATACGTTGGTGCTGCAGGAAAATCTAAAACCCAAAGCAAGAGACAATGTGAAAAGTAAAATGAGAGAGAGAAAGTCTGACGGTCTGCCGTCACCAGGAGTCCAATTGCACTGACACCCAATGGGACCCGATCTAGGACTCAGAATCCACCGTTCCCTACCTGAAATTCTCCTTAATTAAGTTCACTTCTGGGTATCAAATAATGCCCCAAATAACAATTGTCTTAGAAAAATGGGTTGGCAGAGCATCTATTTTCTAAGCTTCTATAACTGTATTATAACAGTTACTTCTATAATCACAATTTTTAATGAGCCAAGAGACAAAATTGACTTTGGAAGGGGCAATTCATCATAAAGAACAAACTGTAAACAATCCTAATGGGCCATGAGTTGCAATCTGACAGCACCCACTCTTCTTCCCTACACGCAAGTCTCAGGGAGACATTCAAGGGATTCAAAGGTTGAAGACAGAGCTCGGCCCTTGAGGCACCGAGACCCAGACCTGCACCCCACTTTCTAGCCTTTGCCCCTCGGTTCTGACCATCAGCCACGCCACTGGGGAAAGTGGGGAGTGTGTGAGTAAGGAGACCTGTCCCACAGTGGCAGGAGGGCCAAGGAGAAACCATGGACACCCCATGGACGTCCCCTGGTACTAACAGCAGTAAGAAGTGATCAGTGGTAGGAAAACCTGTCTCCTGGACCCTCCTGAGCGGGGCTTTCTCTGACACGATGCCCGGCTCCAGCAGGACCCTGTTGTCCCCACCACACCTGGAGACTGGTCCCTGCTCCAGGAGTCCAGCAGTCCCCGCGCGCCTGGTCAGCACTGTCTCCCCCGACCTGGAACGGTGCCTGCACCCCGCAAGAGCAGCAGGAACAGAAGCCCGTCACCCTGCAGTCAGTTGGCAAACCCTGCCAGTTCTAGTCCGGAATGTTTTTTCAGACAATTATGTCACTAGAAATGATTTATTGTGGAAATTCACTCTAAACAAGTAAAGCTTTCCAGGCCAGTGAATTTCAACAAATGCTGCCAGTGGGCGCTGAGTAGCGGGGGACAGGCGGGGCGCGGAGCCTGAGAAGGGCAGTTACCTCAGAGGTGCCTCCTGAGTCTTCACTAAATGATTAGTGAAGTCCCCCAGTTAGGATCACTGAGCGAGCCACCTCTGACACAGGCACATGCCGAGATGCCACTCTCCAGAGCTTAAAACAGAACCTGGGAAGACAGTTGAGAAGAGAAAAGGCACAAAGGAGAACCGAGACTCAGCAATTATAGAAGTCAGGGAAAAGAGTTTCCAGGCAGAAGCACCAGAACTGCCTGCTCACCAGGGAAGACCAGTGACCTTGGTAAGAAGCTACTTATGGGGTTGAGGGAGAAGAAACAAAGTTGCACTGACAAGAGGTTCAGGACCCAGCAATGTGGCATTCTCTATTCACTGAAGGAGTGTTACTGAATCTTTTCATGGGCCAGGCCTGCGCAGGGCATGGTGTGGATGTCAGTGAGAACAGTTCCCAGCCTCAGAGTCAAGCCATGGGGATCCAGACATTAGGTGCAAAGTTAGACAACGGGGGGCCAAAGAGAGTAGAGCAGGTAAGGTGCTTACTTGTACACAGTCAACCCAGGTTTGGTCCCCAGCACCCCATATGGCCCCTGAGCACTGCCACGAGTGATTCCTCAATGCAGAGCCAGGAGTAACCCATGAGAACTGCTGGGTGCTCATGGCGACCACACCATGGTCCCCCATGCACCACCAATAGTGTCTCCCAAGATTCCAAAATTATACCGGTACTTTTATTCCAGATAGTGGAATAAACCTTTTCTGCTCTCCTACGAAAACAAGTAAAGCAAGCAAAGCAAGGATATGTTGATCCTACCTGGGCCTACGGTCACCTCAGTGGAATGCTTGTTGATAATCTTAATCTTATCACTGAAGCCATTTTTCTCTACAATCTTTACAGCAGCATCAGCCATCGGCTTGAAAACCTAGAAATGAAGAACCAAACCCAAGAGAAAATGAGCAATACTTTAAATAACACCCAAATAAATGCCCAAGGTTGGAATGTGTGCCCTGGTTCCTAAGATTTGAAATGACAGGAGCGACCATCACACCATTTCCCCCTAAACATGCAAGCAAAATACTTCTTTGGGTTGCTTCAGTTTGAAGGCTTCATCTGCCTAACTTAAAAATTTTATTCTTGGCTGGAGTCACTGTCACTGTCCTCCCGTTGTTCATCGACTTGCTCGAGCGGGCCCAGTAACGTCTCCATTGTGACAACTGTTACTGTGTTTGGCATATCGAATACGTCACGGGTAGCTTGCCAGGCTTTGCCGTGCGGGCGAGATACTCTCAGTAGCTTACCGGGCTCTCTGAGAGGGGCGGAGGACCGAACACGGGTCGGTCATGTTGGCCGCTTGCAAGGCAAATGCCCTACCCACTGTGCTATCGCTCTAGCCCAAGGCTGGAGTCAGAGTGCTAGATATGTAGGGCTCTTGCCTTTTATGCAACCAGCCCAGCTTCCATCCCTGGTACTCCATATAGTCCCCCTGAGCACCGCCAAGAGTGATCCCTGAGCACAGAGCCAGAGTAAGCCCCGAGCACTGTGTGTATGTGTGTGTGTGTGTTGGGGGGGGTGGGGAGAACCGAAAAACGTTCTTCTTGAAGGCGTCATAAAAAGACCACCCCAGAAGGAGCCTCCACGGACTCTGGCTCCCCGCCTGGAATTCCTATTATGCGTCAGGCACAGCGGATATTGGGGATTTCAAGGAGGTGGCACCCCTATAACGAATGGCAAGTGCCAGTGAATGCAGGAGGGAGCCAGGACAGACATGCACCCACTCTCTAGAGGAAGTGAGATGGTTTCTGTGCTTGTGAGCAAGTCACCCTCCTGATCAGGACTGAGCCCAACCCCCACTGTCGCCAGCATGCCTGAGCTGTCCCTGCCCAGCCCCCAGCTAAACCAGCTCCCGACACCAGTATAAAACCCCGACAGGCTTCCCCAAACCCTCCACTTCCACCTCTCCCCTGCAGTTCAGTCACATAGGCCCAGATTTTGTGCGAGCGAAGCGTCAATACACCCCGTTCCGCTTTGCTGGCATGGAAGGAGACAGCCCAAACCGAACAGTGATTAACTTCCCATTCACACCTTACTTTTATTTTGTGTTTGCCAGATTCCCACAACGGTATGTACTATTTCACAGTACCAGAAATGCAGCATATGCCCAACACTTTATTGCATGTTTAAAGCCTCACTGAAAGACAGCGATGGCAGATTGCCCGACTCTTAGGAAACAATACAACAGCTGGCTCTGCAGGGGCCTCTTGGAGGTGGCGCTGCGCACAGGGTATGCCAGGGCAAGCGGCAAGTCCCGGCTGCCCAACGCCAAGGCCACAAGGCAGAATAACGAAGTCTAATTCCCTTCCCAGGGGCTGGGGGAGACCACGCTCCAGCGTTTCTTTAAAAGCTCCTACAGGTTCTGGGGCTGGAGCAATAGCACAGCGGGTAGGGTGTTTGCCTTGCACGCGGCCGACCCGGGTTCGATTCCCAGCATCCCATATGGTCCCCTGAGCACGGCCAGGGGTAATTCCTGAGCGCCAGGAGTAACCCCCGTGCATTGCCGGGTGTGACCCAAAAAGACAAAAAAAAAAAAAAGCTCCTGCAGGTTCTAACGTGCAGCCAAGGCGGGGAACCAGAGCATTCAGAGGAGACAAGATGGGCGAGGGGTGGCACTGGTACTGTGCATGCTGAGTGAGTCCCCCAGGGCTGTCTGTGACGTGGGAAAGTGGACACGACACATGAGACACCAGACACACACCAAGGGAGCATCTCACCTCAATAGCGTAGCAGAAGTCGGCGCCGGCAGTGACTGCCATCATGGACAGGAGTCCCGTGCCTGTGCCGATGTCGAGAACCAAGGCCTTCTGTCCTCTGTCCTTCACCCTGCGCACCGCAGCCCGGATGCCCTGGTAATACTTGATATTCTACGAGAAGGGGAGAGTCGCTGTCACTCCACACCAGTGACAAAAAGCAGCAGCAAGGGATGGCAACAATGGGCATGAACCAAGACCTTCCTTGGCACCCCGAGGAACCACACTGGCTGCTTTGGGCAGCTCCTGCCCTCTCGGACTCCTGCTCTTCTGCCCTCTGAGCGGCTGCCCCAGGCTCCGAAGAGCACCGCCCCCAGCACCAGATGCTGGCATGGGGGGCCAGAGGGTACCAGAGGGCAAAGTCCCTGAGGTGTTGCTCTCCAAAGATGGGAGTACAAGCTCCACAACACTCCTACATGCTTCTGTGGTCTGGGTACCCCAATCTTTTGTTTTACTGCCCAGGCACCTTTGGGAGTGGCTTTCCTGCAAAAAGCGATCCCAGAGACTTCTCCAACACACAGAGGCTGCTCTGGCCTTTCCTTTTGAAAGGAAAGTCAGACAATTTAGGAAAAAGAAAGATTTGTACAAGGAAAATAAAGAATGAGGAGCAAGGATGTGTCTCTGTGTAGAACACAGGGCTCGCATCTATGAGACCCTGAGTTCAATTCCCCCGGCATCACCAAATCACTGTCACTGTCCTCCCGTTGTTCATCGATTTGCTCAAGCGGGCCCAGTAATGTCTCCATTGTGAGACTTGTTGTTACTGTCTTTGGTATTTTGAATACGTCACGGGTAGCTTGCCAGGCTTTGCTGTGCGGGCACGATACTCTTGGTAGCTTGCCGGGCTCTTCAAGAGGGGCAGAGGAATCGAACCCGGCTCAGTTGGGCTAGCCGTGTGCAAGGCAAATGTCCTACTGCTGTGCTATCACCAAATCAAAAAAGGGAATTTCAGAAAATCACTTTATGTTTAATTTTTATAGAGAATTATTAACAAAGTTATGCAAGGAAGAAAAGCAACCAAGGGGCTGGAGCAATAGTACAGTGGGTAGGGCATTTGCCTTGCACGCGGCCAACCAGTATTTGATTCCCAGCATCCCATATGGTGCCCTGACCACTGCCAGGAGTAATTCCTGTGTATTGCCAGGTGTGACCGAAAAAGAGAAGGAAAAAAAGGGGGGGAGGCTGGAGCAATAGCACAGCAGGTACGGCGTTTGCCTTGCATGTGGCTGACCCAGGTTCGATTCCCAGCATCCCATATGGTCACTCGAGCACCGCCAGGAGTAATTCCTGAGTGCAGAGCCAGGAGTAACCTGTGCATAACTGGGTGTGATCCAAAAAGCAGAAAAAAAAGCAACCAGGGTCATCAGCCAGCTCAACTGTGAACAGTATTGACACTGTTTCAATAATGAGGAATGACTGACTTACATATGTATGTAAGTGCTTCACTGATAATAACACTTTAAAAGGGAGTACTATTGTTATCCCCATTTTACAGATGAGAAAACAAAGACCAGAGAGACAAAGAGACTAGTCTATTAAAAAGGTGAATAGAGGGGGGCTAGAGTGATAGTAAAGCAGGTAGGGCGTTTGCCTTGCACTCAGCCAACCCGGGTTCGACTCCCAGCATCCCATATGGTCCCCTGAGCACTGCCAGGGGTTACTCCTGAGTGCAAAGTCAGGAGTAATCCCTGTGCATCACTGGGTGTGACTCAAAAAGCCAAAAAAAAAAAAGTGAATAGAGATTTTGGTAAAAAATTATGCTGCTAAAAGAGCATGGGAGGAGAGAATGAATTAGGAGAACCTGAGTTAGAAGGAAATCAAATTCTTAGCTCTCAGTGGAATGCCAAGTTCAAAAGGAACTGGATACGGGGCTGGAGTGATAGCACAGCGGGTAGGGCGTTTGCCTTGCACGCGGCCAACCCGAGTTCGACTCCCAGCATCCCATATGGTCCCCCGAGCACTGCCAGGAGTAATTCCTGAGTGCACGAGCCAGGAGTAACCCCTGTGCATCGCCGGGTATGACCCAAAAAGCAACGAAAAAAAGGAACTGGATACAAGTACCAGCTCCCAAAGAAATCCAGCTAAAGGTCTGCTCAGATGCCACACCCAGGGATGGCTCTTCTCTACAATAAGCCGTATGGGGTCAGAGCCACAGTACAGCGGGTAGGACATTTTTCTTGCACACAGTCGACTTGGGTTTGAGCCCCAGCATTCCTATGGTCCCCCAAGCATCAGGAGTAATTGAGTTATTCCAAAGTGCAGAGCCAAGAGTAACCCTTGAGCATCACTGGGTGCAGCCAACCGGAATACCATCCCGCCCCACCCCCCCAAAAAAATGGCAAACAGAGCAATTTCATTTCACTTTGTCTTTTGTGTTTGGGACCATATCCTGTGGTGTTCAAGGCCTGCTCCCAGTTCTGTGCTCAGTGATCACTCCTGGATGGTCTCAGGTGATCATATGAGGTTGCTGGAGATTAAACTCGGGTCAGTTTCATGCAAGGCAACAGCTGTACTATTGCTCCAGCCAGTGATTTCGTTCGTAAATGCAGTCACATGCTAGGTAAAAATTGGCATAGCATTTTAAGCTACGAGCTTTTTAACTACAATTCTAAAAAAATTTTTTCAAATCAGTTCTACAATTTTAGAATTTGTCAAACTGGGAAACCGAACATGTAATATTCTCTACTCCCAGAAGGAGGTGGGGGGGGTGCTATTTGCTCAAAGCAGCTGTGTCTGGACTAACAAAGGATTGTTTCCGAGCCACCGTGAGCGGAGCGCCTGAGAAGCCCGATGAGCAGCATCCGCGACAGAACAGCAAAGGACAAGAATTCTCTTTAAACGGCACTCACATCAGCCACCATCTTTTAATTAATCATTTTTGAAGATACTAGCGTAAAATATGGACGCTTCTCAAAAGGGAAGATAAATCAGGCAAAAAAGGGTCCATTGTTTGGTGAAACATGGAACTAAGACTTTCAGAGGTGCACATAATAAGAGACATTATCTTAAAACGATGTACACCTGAACTCTATATAATGTTAAAAATCAACGTTACTGCAATTAAAAAAAAATCAATGTAAAAAAATCATAAACGAGGGGGCTGGAGCAATAGCACAGCAGGTAGGGCGTGTGCCTTGCACACGGCCGACCTGGGTTCGATTCCCAGCATCCCATATGGTCCCCTGAGCACCGCCAGGGGTAATTCCTGAGTGCAGAACCAGGAGTAACCCCTGTGCTTCACCGGGTGTGACCCAAAAAGAAAAAAAAAATCATAAACGAAAGACAGTTTGTTGGTGTTTATTAAAAACCATATGGTTGGGGGTGAGATAGTACAGCAGGCAGGACACTTGCCTTTCACACGCCCAAACTGGGTTCGATCCTTAAGATCCCACAGGGCCCCCTGAGCACCACCAAGAGTGATCCCTGAACACAAGAGCCAGGAGGAAGCCCTGGGTACAGTGGGTTGTGACCCTAAAACCAAAAAGTAGTCATATAGGTGGGGACAAAGTGGCAGGACAGCACTTAAGGCACCTGCCTTAAATGCGGCAACCCAGGCTCAATCCCAGCACCATACATGATTTCCTGGCCTTTGCCATGAGTGATCCCTGAGTACCACTGGACATGGCCCCCAAAATAAACAAGATCATTGTCATGGTGTCTCCAAAAGTAAGAGAAGTTGAGCACTTAACCAGGGACTGAGTGAAGGGGCCCTTGCCAGGAGGCCCACACCTATCATCTACCCTCTCCCTCTCCTGCCCCGAGTGATCAGGGGACGACGTGGTTTCTGTTTTGTCCTTTTTGTTTTGCAGGCCCCACCAGTGCTTCCCTGCCAATCAGGTCACACGGGGCCCGAGGATGCAATGCTGCCCAGGACCTTCGGTGCTGAGGGCCTCCAGGGACACCCCAGTGTGGCTTGAGGGACCATGTGGAGATAGGAATCAAATCTGGGTCGGGCACCCTAATTGCTGTACTATGTCCCCATGCACGATTCATTTTCTCAGCTTGATCCTCCATCTTTCTCTCAACTTTTCCCCCATGCAGATAAGGCCACTCTGGAAGACTGTGAAACTCTACGCTGCTCACCACTGCTATGACCCAGCACAGCAGTCCGCTACTGAGGAGCAAGCAGGAAAAGAAAATTGCCATCAACATGCAGAGAGGAAATCTGAAATCTGAAATGGGATTCTGTAATGAAAGGCTTCATCACAGTCTGCAGTGACATCTAGCGATTTTATTTTAGAATTACAAGCTGACTACACAAAGCATCATCATGTAATTAGAAAATTTTTATCTAGAAATCAGTCAGTATAGATGTCAGCTAGTAGATCTGTCATTGGAAATACTGAAGGACTGCAGTGACAGTATAGCGGATAGGGCGTTTGTCTCACACACAGCTGACCCGTGTTTGATTCCCAGCATCCCATATGGACCCCAGAACCCACCAGGAGTGATCCCTGAGCAGAGCCAAGAGTAAACATGGAGCACCACTGGGTGTGGCCTGAAAATAAAAAAATAAATACATTTAATGCTAATAAGGAAGGTCCACTGAGGGCCTAGATTTTCTGCATCCAAGGCTGCACGCAGGTCCATGCTAGTCCATGCAGGTCCTGACTCCTTTTCTGACCAGGGCACACACTGCCTCTATGTGCTGTTTTAACACTCGCCTCCAGAGGGAGCTTTCAACCCACTCATAGAAAGTTTCACAGCATGCAACGAAGAGAACAGTCTCCACACTTACTCTGTCTTTGTCATGAAGCATATCAGCATAGGATGACCTAAAACATAAAAAGAAGGATCAGAACTCTCTGCAAAATGGGTACCGAGGCACGCATGTGAATGCACTCCTAGTCCAGACAGACACCCAGGCTGGATTTAGCAAGGAACCTCAGACCCGAGAACACTCTGGTGGGGGGCCGTCAGAAATCTCACAGCCACTCGTCTACTATACGTCACACATTTTTCTTGGCAAGAGTCCAAACTCCGCATGATCTTGCATGCATTTCCACACTGATCACATCACAGAGAGGAATCGGAAGGGACAGCACATGTCTGCTGTAGATGTGAAGGGGACTGAAGTAGGCACTGAGTGGGGAGCCTTGGCAAGTGTCTCCCGCTCAACGGGAAAGGCTGGCTGGGACCGGCCTTGAGCATCTCCACTGCATGAACTGAGGCAGCCTGGCCACCCCACTGGGCAGTCGTCAGGCTGCACCTGAAGTTCACCTGATCTCCACGTTGCAGGAACTGGTTCCCACCACCCCAAGAACTTAGGCTGGAGTAAGAACTGGCTCTCTGCAGGAAAAGCAAAGTCAGTTCTCTCTGCGACACAGGGTCCAAACGTATTCCGGCTTAATCATCTTCCTCACAAAAGAGAACGTTTGCCTTGTGCCCACCAGATCCAGGTTCAATCTCCGGCATCCCATATGGTCCTCCAAGCACCGCCAGGATTAATTCGTGAGGGCAAAGCCAGGAGTGACACCTGAACATCACCGGGTGAGACCCAAAAAACTAAAAAGAGAATTTCAGGAGGAGATTTGAATAGTGAAGTCAAATAGTTTTATTTTCAAGTGAGTGTGAGAGCGTGTTTCGTGTTTGAGGGAGAGCACGGGCTTCCGAGCCAGTGCTGGGCTCTCGGAAAAAGACAGTGCACTGCCCGTGCCTTCACTGCGAGGGTGTGGCCATGAACTGTGCAAGGACTTTCTCATAATCTTTTGCTCTTCTAGAATCTTCTTTTTTGGAGGGAAATCCACCATTCTCTAGGCGATAACTCTACGCCTTTGGCTACTTCAGGGCTGGTGACTGGGCAACTTCTTAAAATCACATCTTGGTATTAGCGGGGGACCCTCCCTGTCTTATCTGCTTGCAACAGAATCTTGGATCCTAAAACCGTTTTAAGGTGGAAGGAACCAGTTCCCACACGGAAGAAGAAATCACACGTATCTCAGGCACAACTCCACAGCTGCCTCCATGGGGCTACGGGATCAGGGGGTCCTCACCGGCCAGGCTCCTCCTTCCCCCACAGCCCCCATCTCCCCGGCACCCCCACACGAACAGCAGTCTTGCAGGACCAGCTGAGCGGTTGCCAAGAGGAGAGAGCAGTTTCCACGTGTTTTTGGCCCGTAGCAACCCACTGGTTTGCAAAGCCTCCCATGGCACCAGCTCTCGGCAGCCCGAGGCCACAGACACTTTCTGAGTTCCCAGTCAGACTCCGCCTGAGGCTTCCTCGGAGACGGGGCTCCTGGCTATGCTTCAGTCTCCAGATGACGGGGGGGGGGGGGGGGGGGGGGGGGGGGGGGGGGGGGGGGAGAATGGGACGGGGGGGGGGCGGGGGGGGGCGGGGGGGGGGCTGCTTTGGAGGCGGCTGCAGGGACGCGACTCTGGTCGGGAGGCTGAGCTGCCTCGAAGGGAGAGGCTTCGCCATCAGGGCTGCTGCCTCCGGGAAACAACCCCCCTACCTGGCAATCTCCTGGTGGTAGTCATAGTGCTCGTCCTCCTCCAGCCACTCCACAGAGCCTGTGGTGGGATTGGCTCGCCCGCAGAAGACCTTCATGGCGCCCCGCGGCAACTCAGCAACTCAGCTTTGGTGTGGAAAAGCAGCACTCCGGCTCCCTTCCGAGGACAGGCCTTCTTCGGCTCAAAAAGCCTCTCTCAGGATGCCTAAGACGGAGGGGGAAACGTGCCGAAAGGCAAGAAAGCAAGACAAAACACAAATCAGGAAGCTGCTGGGGCCGAAGAGACAGTACCGCAAGCAGGGTGCTCGCCTTGCCCGTGGCTAACCCCTGAGTTTGCCAGGAGCGATCCCTGAGCAGTCAGGAATAGGCCCCAAGCACTGCCCGATGAGGCTCCCACACCACAAAAAACGTCAAGGCGTGGAGGGCCAGACGGAGAGAACAGCATTTGGGGCACCTGCTCTGCACACGACTGACCCAGGTTCCATCCCTGGCATCCCCTTGGGTCCCCCGGCGCCACCAGGAGTGATCCCTGAGCACAGAGCCAGGAGTAATTCCCAAACACTGTTCCCTACCCCCACGCCTGCCCGCCACATAACATAAATAAAAACAGGACCCAGGAGACTAGCACGGGACAGGGCAGGACCCTGATTTGATTTCCAGACTGCATGGCCCCTGCACCCAGCACTGCCAGGCACAGCTCTGCAGAACATCCCACACGAGACCCCATGAATGTGGGAACAACGAGAACTAAAAATCCTACAACACAAAAATTCACAGTACTGGGGGCTGGAGTGATAGCACAGCGGGTAAGGGCGTTTGTCTGCCTTGCATGCGGCCCGACCCAGGTTCGATTCCCAGCATCCCATATGGTCCCCTGAGCACGGCCAGGAGTAATTCCTGTGTGCATGAACCAGGAGTAACCCCTGTGCATCGCTGGGTGTGACCCAAAAAGAAAAAAAAAAAATCACAGTAGTGCAGGGAGCCCTTGGCTTTCCTCACTGGTTCCCAGAGGGTTGAGTCTCACCGGTGCACTGGGGTGCAGCCTCCGGCAAAAGCAGGTCAGAAGGAAAGAGAAGGAGCGCCTCGGGGTTATCAGTCTGCTTGGGGCCAGGGACGGGGCTCGAGTGCTAGAGTCCAACCTGAGCATAGGAGGCTGCAGGTTCGATCCCTGAGACTGCATGATGCCCCCAGCACAGCCATGGGGGACTTGCTGGCCCCTGAGCACTCAAACATAAAAACATTCTGTTCGAGGAAGAAGACAAGGAGCAGAGCCCAGAATCAGGCCCGCAGTTAGCACTCAAGGAAGAGTCAAATCAAGGAGGCCATTTAGGGGACGTCTAAAGTAACCATACTGGGCAGGGGGGGAGCGAAGGGCTGGAGCATGCTCTGTGGGGTGGGAGGTGGGGGGCTCCACATTCAATCCCCAGCACCACAGGTAGCAATCCACAGAGCACTGAGCCGGGGAGTAGCTCCCCCCCCCCCATCACTCAGGTGTCCCTCCTCCCCAAAATAAAAGTGAGTTTTCTTTTTTTTTTGGCATTCCAGAACACTGCTTGGGGCGACAGCCCTGCTATGTGCCCTTGACAAATCAAGCCCGAGCCTGACTGGGTGGCAGCCTTGCCTTGCACGTGGCAGACCCGGGGCTGGATCCCCAGAGCACAACCAGGAGTGATTCCTGAGCACAGAGCCAGGAGTAACCCCTGAGCATCACTGGGTGTGTTTCTCCCCCCCCCCCCCAAAATAAAACTGACTCCAGGGGCTAGCGAGATAGTAAAGCAGACAGGGTGCTTGCCTTGCACAAGGGCAGCTCAAGTCCAATCCCCGGCATCACTGCTGGGTGTCGGAAAGGTAGGGAGGAGAAAGGAGGGGAGAGAGGGAGGATTGGAGGGAGGGAGGGAGGAAGGAAAGAAGGAAGGGAGGAAGGGAGCTCACAGGTGCCTAAAATGAAACACTGCTAAGATTTCTTGTTTAGTCTTTGGGGCTAACGTGCTCATGCCAGGATAGAACCCAGGGCTCCCACATGCACACTGCCGACCTGGTTCAATCTCCGGAATCCATATGGTCTTGTTTTCTGTCCCCCGCTCTCCCCCTCCCCTTCCCGGCACCCCCAGCATGACTAGGAGTAATTCCTGAGAGCAGAGCCAGGAGCAACCCCTGAGCATCCTTGGTGTGGCCCTAAAACAAACAAAAAGCCCGAGTTCCAGTCCTTTGAGCAATCCCAACTGCCCCCTCCCCAAGACATCTTATTGGTCAGCTAGTGGCTTTCATTTGAAGTCATCTATACTGGGTAAGCAGTAAGTTCTGACACAGACAATAGGAAACAATCCTTTCCAAAAAGACTCATTAGGTCACTTCAAAGCAGTCAATTTGTCCTTCAGTAAAACTCTTAAAAATGCCAACATATCTCTCCTCTAACCTAATGGCTCTTAAGCTGACAGCCCTAGTAAGAAATATATTTTAGACTGAGGGGCCGGAGAGATAGTGCAGCGGGGTAAGGTACTTGCTTTACATGTGCCAGACCCAGGTTTGATCCCTGGCACCCCACAGGGTCCCCAGAGCCCCGCCTAGAGTGATCCTTTAGTGCAGAGCCAGGAAAATGCTTTAAGCACTGCTAAGTATGGATCACAAAAAACCAAAATGGGTCCAAAGCAATAGTACAGCAGAGAGGGATTTGACTTGCCCATAACCAACCCGGGTTCAATCCCTAGTACTCTAGTGGTCCCAGGAACTGTGTCAGGAGGCCTGAACACACACCCAGGAATAAGCCCTGAGCACTGTTGGGTGTGACCCTAAAATAAAAACCACCATATACGTATGCACATATAACTTAGTTTCACTAAACAGCATTTACCCTTCCTCTGTGCAAATTAGCCTTCCTGTCACCACATGATATTTACTTTCTTTTATTTTTTTCTTTGCTAATCACGATCCACTAACTTGATTTCATAATACACCAATGACTTACAACCAACAGTCTTAAACGCACTGGTAGAATCAGCTTTGGACATCTTAGATGCTACTTATCTCTTCTGAAAAGTACATGTCTGGGCTGCAACAGATAGTCCCACGGGCTGAAGTGCAGCTCTGCAAGCAGGAAGCCTGGGTGAGCATCGAGCACTGGAGCGTCCCAGCATCCTGAGCGTCCCAGGAGCAACTCCCAAGCAACAAGCCAAGAGTCACCCCTGCACACTGCTGGGTGTAACCCCCCAATCAACAACAACAAAAACAAAACAAAAACAAACAAAAAAAAACCCTTAGAACTACCAAAATGTGTAATGAGCCTTAGAAAGCTGTGACCAAGAAATGCCACAGGAGAAAGAAATGACCACATCAGGCGCTCAATGGTGAAATGCATGCCTTGATACATTACATGCAGGAGACCTGGATTTGATGCCTAAAGATGCAAAATAGAAGAAGGGGCTGGTGCGATAGCACAGTGGGTAAGGCGTTTGCCTTGCACGCGGTCGACCCAGGTTCAATTCCCAGCATTCCATATATCCCCTGGGCACTGCAAGGAGTAATTCCTGAGCGCAGAGCCAGGAGTAACCCTTGTGCATCGCCGGGTGTGACTCAAAAAGCAAAAGAAGGGGGTAGGATGTCAGCTACGTGGAGGATGAGTGCACCTCACCAGGTTAGAAAGTGTTAGGCCCGTATTTTGCAACCTTTTTCTGACAGTGGCCCCCTCTGACCTTGTATCCCTCCCACAGTTGCACCTGCCCCTCATGTCCTATCAGCTGCCCCCCCAGTCTCCTGATTTGGACTCCCCATTGTGTGATTTTTGTGGCCCCCTTGGAATATACCGGGTGCCCACAGAGGGTGGCTGAGGCACTAAGTTAGACAGTCAGCATGGTGAATGAATCAGTTTGGCTGAAAGAAGTTGGACAAGGATCAACTGTGTCTGTGGTGGGGTCCATGTGTGGCACATGTGGAACCAATTCTGCAGTCACTTTTAAGTTCACCTGTAGTTAAGGACATAGCAAAGAACTTTCATTTGTGGGATGGCCTTATCATCTGGGGTCCACGTCGACAACTAGGCCAAGAGAAGTCGCCAGAATCACAGAAACCTAAACCACTGCCTGAGGACAGGAAGCATGTCCTGAAAACTCTTGGGGTGACACAACACACCCTCCACATATAAATCTCTTCTAGCATTATGACTTGTCGTTCACAGAAGCAGCCCACACTGACCCCAGAGTCTAACCCTGCTTCTCACGTCCTGGAGACCAATGAGGGAACAGAAACATCTGGTGGCCCATCCCTAACTGCACTCCTCATCTGACTGCAAGGCTGATGTCTGGTTCATTCATTCAAAATTTACCCACCACCTTCCGTATGCCCCGCACTGTAGTCCACTGGAAGGCCATAAACAAGACAGCAGGTTCTTGTCCTCTAAAACTTTGACTCTGCTAGGTAAGACAGTAAGGAGAGCGAGCACAAGGAAGGAAAAGGCAGGATTCAAGAGAGTAACAAGGTAGAGGTTGGCACGACAGGGCAGTGGGTTAGGGCGTTTGCCTTGCACATTGCCCAATATTTGATCCCGGGCACCCTATATGGTTCCCAGACCCTGCCAGGAGTGAGCCCAGCAGAGCCAGTAATCAGTCCTGAGCACAGCCAGGTGTGCCCCGCCCCCCAATTATTTTTTTATTTTGAAAACAATAAAAACTGAGGACAGGCTCACTCCTGGTAGGCTAAAAAATCAAAACCACTAAACTTTAGAAAAGGGGCTGAAGCCACGGGACAGCATGTAGTTTTTGTGCTTTGCATGAAGCTGACCCGAGATCAAGCATTCCCAGCATCCCAGCATCCCAGATGGTCCCCTGAGCACCACCAGGAGTGATCCCAGGGTGTAGCGCCAAGAGTAATCCCTGAGCACTGCCAGATATAGCCAACCCCCTCCCCGCCCCCCCAAAAAAAACCAAAAACACAACTTCTAAGGAAGAGCTCAGCATGCTGAGCCGCTCTGCACACCTGGGAGCCCCCGGGCTCAAGCCGCAGGCACTGCATGTTCCACTCCACACCGCGAGCTGCAGCAGAGCCTGAAGCCGCCCGGAGCGCTGCTGGCTGTCCCCCACCCCACGCCCCCAAATAACTAAGTTTGTTACAGAAGTCCCTACCCCAACTTTTCCCCCAAAGCAACCCCCCGCTGAAGGAGGAACGGAGAGGCGCGGAGGCAAATCTGACACGCGCCCGCGGGACTGGAGCGCTCGCCCCGAGAAACGGCAGGTGCCTGGCGGGTGGGCGCGAGAGGCGTTTGCGTCCCGTTCCCGGCGCACGCGGGGCCGCTCGGGGCTCCCGGCGCCAGGGCATCACCCAATTCCCTGGACCTGCCAGCGGGCCGCCCCGGCGAGTGAGTGAAGAGGCTGCCACGAAGCCCACCCGCGGCTCCCGGCACCCGAGAACCGTGACCCGCTCGGGCGGCGCGTGGAGAGAGGCTCGGGTCTCGGTCACTGCGGGGAGCCTAAGCGCCTCCCCACGCGGACTCCGGAGCTGCTCCCCGCGTCCGAGCTCGCCCTCGGCCGGGCCCCTCGGTCAGAGCCGGCTGCGGGCGCGGCCCGGCCCCGCGAGCCCCGTCCCGCCGCGCCCGCCCAGCCGAGCGCCTCACCAGCCGCAGGAACCGCTCCGCTTCCTTGCGCCGCCGCCGCCGCCGCCGCCATCTTGCCGCCGCCGGCGCGCGGGGGCGGGACTTCCCGTGCCGAGTGGGCGGGGCCTCCGAGGGCCCGGAAGTGGAACTCGGAGCGCGCGTCGCCCGGGCCTCGTCCTCCTCAGTCGGCGGCCGCGCCATGGAGGGCGGCCGCACTGCGGTGCTGCGCGTGAAGCGAAAGCGGAGCGCCGAGCCCGCCGAGGCCCTGGTCCTCGCTTGCAAACGCCTTCGAAGCGGGGCCGAACGGTCGGAGACCCAGGAGACGTCCCCCCGGGGTCCCGAGGGAGACGCGGAGAAAAATGTCTTCCAGTTAGTGGCCACCGTACGCACGCAGGTGAGGGATGCGGTGGGGGGAGGATCGAGTGGGTGTGAACGTGTGAGGGTGGGGAGACCCGCGCGGCCGGGGTGGAACTGCATCCCCCCGGCCCCCCGGCCCCCTCACGACCCTCCGCGCGTCTCTGCCTGCCCGCAGGAGGAGCCGGTCCAGCCGCTCGTCCGCGCCGCCTTGCGCCCTGCGCGGAGCAGCGAGCAGCGGATCCGCCGCGACCTCCGCGAATCGGCGTCCCGGAGCCGGCAGGAGGGTCGCTACCGGGTGGTCGCCAGCCGCCGGTCCCTGGGGACGCTCGCGGCCGGCCTGGAGCCCGCGGCCGGCCCGGGAGACGCAGAGGCCACCGAGGACGCCGGCTTCCAGCTCTTCGACCTGGTCCACGAGGAAGGGGAGCCAGAGGCCGCCGGCGCCGGGGCCGCCTGCACGGTCAGTGACGGGCGGGGACGGACGCGGGGTCGACGCCCGGGAGGATGCGTGCGGGTGCCCCTTAGAAACGGATGACGCGGCCGGCCCTGCTTTGCACGGATGTGGTGATGCCTAACATCAGTGTCTTAACTGAACGCCCACCCAGCTGGGGGCCAGGCACCCCCCGAGGCTTGTGGCCAGGAGAAGCGTTGCGGGCAGAAGGGAGAAACGGTAATTACAGAAGTCGATCGAATGTTGTTGGGGGGGGGGGGGGTCTTGGCTCTAAGGAAGGGGACGGGAATGAAAACGGGGAAAGAGAGAATGAGAATGGCATTGGGGGGGCGGAGCAACAGTCTAACGTGGAGGGCGTTTGCCTTGCACACTGCCGACCCGGGTTCGATCCCGGGCATCCCATATGGTCCCCTGAGCACTGCCAGGAGAGTTCAGAGCCAGAAGTAACCCCTGAGCATCTCTGGGTGTGACAGAGAGAGGGAGGGAGGGAGAGGAGAAAAGGAAAGAGATAGAGAGAGAAAAGAATGCATTGGAGCAGAGGAAGGAATGGTAGGGCGCTGTGTGTGTCCTAGAAAGGGGTGTGGCTGCGTTCCAAGCTCAGGACCTGCTGTTGTAAAGGCCCTAAAGAATGCGCATGTTGGGGGTCAGCTTGCTGGAAGCCCAGCGGGCTGGAGGGAGCAGTGGTGTGTGGGGATGGTTGCTGGCTGCACCCCGAAATGATGGGATGTGCCTGGCAGGTTGTAAACAGGGGCCGGAAACCTGCAGGCCTGGTCCTGGTTGGCAAATCCAGTTTGAGGCAGTCGTATCACTGTTCCCCCAGTTGGCTTCCCACTACTTATATTTTACTAAGATTCGTGCCTCACTACCACCTTGATTATATGCAGAAAGACCGAGGAAAGAGGAAAGGGACAACCGAAGGGGTCCCAGGGGCCTCAAGGGCTGGAATGATGCTTTACATGCGGGAGCCCTCTGTCAGATCTGAGGCACCACCAGAAGCAACCCCTAAGCACTGAGCACCACCAGATGGCACCCAAAGAAAACAGAAAAAACACATATCACAGCAAAATAACATTTACTCATAGGACTAGTTCAGTCTAAATAGCAATTTAGGCATATCCATAGACATATCTTCTACAAAACTAGATTCAGACCAATTCATGAGCTATAAAAGTTTCTAAATGTTCAAAAAAAAAGTTACTAAATGTTCGATGGAATCAAGTCATAGCTATATAGGAGAAATAGTAAATAAACTGATGGAGAACCTGACAGGTTTTTCCAGTAACACAATATAAACAAAAAACCTAAAAAACACATTCTTGCAGAGGGGCTGGGGATATAATACAGCAGGTAAGACCTTGCACACGGCTGGCCTGGGTTCGATCCCCGGCATCCCATATGGTTCCCCGAGCACTGCCAGAACTAATTCCTGAGTGCAGAGCCAGAAGTAACTCCTGAGCATCACTGGGTGTGGCCTAAACCCTCCCTCTTCCACCCCACTCCACCCCCCCAAAAAAAATGTATGGATCCAGGTAGAGCTCAGTGATAGATCACTTGCCTTGCAAGCATGAATTTGAGCCCCACCTGGCCTACATGCCCAGGCTTGAGCCCCACCCAGCTTTGAATCTCATTTGGGATTCCAAGCACAAAATACAATTCCCTTCAAGAGAGAAGGGAAACTAAACAACAACGTTGCACAAAATTGTCTTAGGAAAATATTTAGGCAACTGGGGTAGCTCAAAGGGCTGAATGAGACACATTTTATATGTGGGAGCCCAGGGTCCAAACTTTGGTACCAAAGCACTGTTGCGTGTGACCCAAAAACAAATAAGCAAAAAATGAATATGCTGAAAGCAAACTGAGGTTGTATGTGAATAGGAGGCTGTTGGTAGCGTTACTGGCACGGCCATGATTAAAACGGCAGGTGACTGGGCGCTTAAAAGTGATAAAACTTGGGGATGGAGCTGTAGCACAGCGGGTTGGGCATATGCCTTGCACACGACTGACCTGGGTTCGATTCCCAGCATCCCATATGGCCCCTGAGCACCGCCAGGAGTAATTTCTGAGTGCATGAACCAGGACCCTATGCATCGCCGGGTGTGACCGAAAAAGCTCCCCCCGCCCCTCAAAAAAAAAAGTGATAGAACTCTTCAGGAGGACGCTATGACTTTACTTATTGGAAAGCATGAAAAAGAGCTTGGGCTGTTTAAGGAACCCCTGTCACTGCAACATTACCAACCACCAAGGGAAGGCAAGAGGAGAAGGGAATAAAATTACAAAATAATAAATTATTAATATAAATGATGTGTTCATTATAGAAAACAAAGAAGTACTATACTTTTCTCCTCCTACCCCAAACTGGAGCGATGACACAGCGGGTAGGGCGTTTGCCTAGCACGCAACCTACTGGGCTGACCCGAGTTCGATTCCTCCACCCCCTCAGAGAGCCTGGCATGCCAAACACAGTAACAAGTCTCACAATGTTGCGGGGCCCACTCGAGCAAATCGATGAACAACGGGACAGTGACCCCAAACAGGAGTAAAATTGATTTCTTTCTGAGCAAGAAATTCTGTTGTTTGTATCTCTAGCCAGTGTGTTTAATGACTATATGATTTGCTGATTTGATGGGCTTGTGTGTTAAAAGCTAAGCTTTTCTTTGTAAAGCCAGGGATATAGCTGAGAGGGGTGGAGCACTTGCTTCGAGTGCATAAGGCCTAAAGTTCATTCCTGGCACTGTGTGGTCCCCCAGAGCACCACATCCTGGGGCCGGCCTGAACACCAAACTGTCAGTCTTGTACCATAGGACTTCCCCACAGCCCCAAAGTATTGCTGGGGGACTGCTATTAAAACACAACAACAAATAACTTGTTAGCCGCTGTGAAGTTAGAAGGCCACACAAAACATTACATCTCTAGTTCCTAAACACTGGAACAAGAAAGAAAGAATTCCCATTAGCATGTAGTAGTAGAGTTTGGTCACTGCGTCTGCCACAGCCTCCTGTGATGAATATTCTCTCTCTCTCTCTCTCTCTCTCACTCTTTCTTTCTCCCTCCCTCCCTCCCCCACCCCACCCCACCCCAGCTTTTGGCTTTTGGTCCACACTTGGTGGTGCTCAGAGCTTACTCCTAGCGCTGCGCTTAGGGATCACGCCTGGCAAGCCTTGGGATTTTATGTGGTGGCAGGGTTGGTTGGCCACATGCACGGCAAGCGCCCTCCCCACTGTGCTGTGCTGTCTCTGCAGCCCATGTGATGAATTTTTCAAGAAGAGTCGCTTGCAGCAAGCACGTCCCTCTGCTTCCCGGTTGACTGCAGAACCAGATAACAAACTGCAGCCACTCCACCTCTGAGCCGGCCGTTGCCATCTACTTCAGTCCCTCTCAAGCTGTTCTTTCTAGCACAAGGGAAGGACTGGGAGATAGCTCAGGACTTGCTAGAGCCACAGGTTCAATCCCTGTCACCTGTGGGCCCCTGAGCATTGCCTGTTGACCCCTGATTTGTGATTAAAAGCAGATGTCGGCTCCGGAGCCATAGTACTTGTAGAGGGCTTATCTTGCACATGGCTGACCCGGATACAATCCCTGGCATCCCATATGGTCAACTGGGCACCACCAAGAGTCATCCCTGAGTCAGAACCAGAAATAAACCCTGAGCGCCACCCAGTGTGGTCCAGAAACCAAAAAAAATAAAGGTAAAGGTAAAGGCCCTCCCGTTGTTCGTCGATTTGCTCAAGCGGGCCCAGTAACGTCTCCATTGGAGATTTTGTTGTTACTGTGATTGGCATATTGAATACGTCACGGGGAGCCAAAAAAAATAAATTATAAAAAAAAAGATGTCGTGTGAGCAAGTAATCGGTGATGGCTGCTGCTAGTTACCAGACTTCAGGAATCATCCTTAGGCTCTTAGACCCATTTGGGGGTCAGCCACAGAGAGAAGCTGCTTTGGGTCTGCGGATCCCTGTGACGAGAACATCCTACCAAAGACAGACTGTCAAGCAGAGCCTGAGAGCAAGACAAGTGAGCTCTGCGGGGCCTCCTTGGACCTGAATCCTCCAGAAAAGCAGCGAGCTAGCATGAGTCTCTCAAAAGAAGTACACATTACCCTTAATAGATTTCCTAAGGTCTTGGTTTTGTTGCTGAGCTTAGTAGGCCCTAGGGCTAATAGCTTGAGTCCGGGCCAGGAATATAGCTCAAAGGATTGGAGCAGGTGCTTTGCACGCTGGAGGCCCAGCACTGCATGGTCCCTCAAGCATCACCAGGAGCTATAACTGAGCAGTTTGGGGTGTTGTACAATAAACAACCCCCCCCCAAAAAAAAAAGAATCTGTAGAAAGCTGTTGGGAGGCATCTTAGGCTTCTCTTCTTGAAACAGATTTTAATTCCCGCGTGTGTTTGCTCTTTTCCTTCCAGCCCTCCAACCCAGACGCTATCCTCTGCAACTCTGTAGAGTTGATCCGGGAACGGCTGACGTTATCAGAGGATGGCCCCAGAGTTGGGCCGCAGGAGGAACAGAAAGATGATTATGTGTATGACATTTACTACTTAGAGATGGCCACTCCCGGGTGGATCGAGAATGTCCTCTCTGTGCAGCCTTACAGCCAGGAGTGGGAGCTGGTAAGAGGCCTGTGAGGAGGGCATGAGGCAGCCCTCGTGGATTTTTCCCTCAGAAAGCTTTGCGTTCCTGCTTCCATTCCTACCCACACTGATCTTGGTTCTTGTGTTTGCTTAAAATGTTGTTATTCTAGAGGCCAGGAAGGTAGGTCAAAGGGCTGGAGCTTATGCCTTCCATGCGAATCCCTGCATTCAATCCCAGGCACCACATGGTCCCATGAGCACTGCTGGACTCAAATAATTGGACCTTCAGACCCACTGAGCCAAGTATTTACAGAGGTAGACACCAGGACCACCTCCCCCCCCCCCAAAAAAAAGTGTATTTTAAAGTCTTAAGAACTACAACCACCACCACAACAGAAAAACAGCAAAACTAATATCTGGTATCATTCTCAGGACACGTTCTAGAGTGATTAATGAGAAAAGGTGATGCTTATTATACTCTTGCTGTGAGACAGTACATATTCCCGTTCCCGCCCTGGTGCGCCCCATGTTGGTGGTGTTTACACTATCCCGCAGGGCTGGTGCCTGCGCTGGACTCAGGGAATAATCCTGCTGCCCCACTCTTGAAAGCTGAGTGCAGCAGAGCCGAGTCAGACTGGCTCCTAGGCTGCCTTTCCGTCACACACCTTCCAACTTGGCCTACTAAAGCTTTCCCCATAGCATAACGTTAGAGCTACAGTTGGTTATACTCATGTTTGCATGATATGTGCAGGTGAACAATGACCAGCCATCAGAGGACACCTATGAAGATGAAGATGATGAGAACAGTGAAAATAATTGGCGCAATGAGTACCCAGATGAGGAGGATGACAGTGATGAGGAAGATTCCAGAGGTGAGTGGGTCACAGGTCTGCTGGGATCTGTGAATGAGGTGTGAATGGATTTGGCAGGTGTCCCTTTCCTCCCTTAGAACTGGAGAAAGATAGTACAGTGTGTAAGGTGTTTTCCTCGATCAAACCCAGGTTTGATCCTGAGTACCTCATATGGTCCCCCAAATCCTGCCTGAAGTGATTCTGAGCACAGGACCAGGAGTAAGCCCTGAGCACTGCCTTTATGTAGACCCCCACCCCACTCCCCCAAAAGTATATATTAAAAATCATGTCATAAAGCCTTGGAATTTGTTGTCATTGTTCTGTTTTTTTTGGTGGTGCCAGAGATCATGAGTTGTTAATCAGGAACAATCAAACTGTGGAATACTCTAGAACCCAAACAGGCCTTTACTTAGGGGCTGGGGGTGTAACATAGCAATAAAGCAATGTCCTGTGTAAAGCTAGGGTATTGGGAGAAGAAAATGGACTTAGAGGAGAAATGACAAAATACTGCAAGGTCAAGGCCTTATTTAGATGGGAGAAATATTACTGTTTGTTCTTAAATTATTGTGTATTCTGGATTCTCTCAAAAAGGTGTTTTAGAATAGGAAACAAAAACAGACCTTTCTGAAAGAAAAGGGATTAATAGTTAGATCTCCACCTGTTCCCTCACTCTAGATTCTGGTGACTACAGCAGCTGCAGTGAAGATGAAAGACGCAACAGGAGACCGCAGCTGTGGAGCAAGTACCCTTTGGACGTACAGAAAGAGTTTGACTATGACAGCCCCAGTGAGCTGGATTAGACTCGACCTTGTAGTAGCCATGAAATTCGGCCATTTGCCAAGAGGGCTCTGTGACTAGCTTCAGCTGTCCTAGCCACATCCTCCCAGGTTTCCTCATCAACTTGTGGAGGAAAAAGGCCTAACTATCAACCCGATCCCAGTACGGTGAAAATGTGCTGTGGGAGTGCGTCTTAGTCACTGAATGGGCCCCTTACCTGATCACAGGTGACCCTGCATAACCAGGGAGAGGGCTCCAAGAACTGATGCGTGGGAAGGCCCAGGTTTGATGCATGGTACCAAGTACTGGTGTAGCCAAGAGTAATCCCTGAGCACCACCAGGTGTGATCCCCAAAGGTGGTCAGAGTTTAGGGATGGTGGGAATACGATAAAAAGGAAGCCTCCTGGTCCAAGCTTCTCCCCAGCATACCTGTTGTCTTTGCTGAAACCAGTTATATTGAAGAAAGACTTGTTTATCAGTAGTCAGATTTGTTTTCCCAGACCGCCAGGCCACCTCCAGTTCCTTTTGAGTAAAGGAAATGACAAGGTGTCATGGGTCCCTTGTGTCTGCACAGACCTGCCAGTCATGGCCCACGCTGGAGGAAGTAGAATCTGCCTGAAAAGTGAGTAGTGCCACCCAGTTCTGGTAATGTTACAGAGACTGCATTGGTGCCAAAGAAAGAGGACGTGTATGACTGTGATACTGTGTTTAATAAAAACTAACTTTAAAACCGTTAACATCTAAAGTCTAGGGTTTTCTTATTGTACTCCCCTCCCCTGCCATATAAAGAGGGAAAGTAAAAAAAAATTTCAGAAAACACATCCTGGACTATATTTTCTTTTGAGTATGATAAATACTATTGATAGTAATTATCAAAAACTATAACCAAAATATTTTGGAGAGATGGGAAGTCTGAGGCTAGTTCTTGGCAGTGCTCAGAGGACCATGAAGTGCTGGGAGTCAAACTCGGGCCTACTACATGCAAAGTGAGTACGCAGCCTCGTGAGCTGTCTCTGGCCCCTGTGAACATGATACATTGGTCTTACAATTGATCTCTTACAAGCATATTGACTGATGCTTTCCAAATAACAGACACCTTGATTTTAGTTGGCATTTATTCTAGCGTGGCGCTGTCCAGGAAGTCCATAACATGTCCTGTGCCTAGACTGCACTGGCAGCTTCCGGTCACAGGCAGCTGTTGAACACCTGAAATGTGTGTGGTGTAACTGAAGGATTGGCTTTTTACTTCATTCTGCCTTAACTAGCTACATGTGGCAGGTAGCAGACCTTCTGGACAGTGCAGGTCTTGGGAAACAATTCAGTAAACCGAATCAAGGTGTGCCCTCTTGCCCTGTGGCACAGATCACTCAAGTGGGAAGATGAATTACACAGGGAGATAGTTGTTTTGTACCTCTTAACATTTTTTAAATGGGGCTAGAGAAAGCACAGGCAGGGGGTAAGGTGCTGGTCTTGCTGCCAACCTCAGTAGGAATCTCTGGCACCACATATGGTTCCTTGAGTACCACCAGGGGTCACTCTAGTGCAAAGCCAGGAAAAGGTCTCAGCACCGTGGACACGAGTTGGACAAACCCAGTTTTTTTTCATAAACACTTTCCTATCCAATTCACTGTGTGTTCATTTTCTCTGACTTTTAAATTACATTAGTTCTTACCTACATGGAGTAATTAAGTATCTCCCAGGAACCACACCTCCCAAAGTGATTAAGTTCTGTGTACAGGTACTCAGGCCCTACAGAGCAACAAAACCAACAAAATACTGCTTTCCCATCCGAACGCCACAAAGGTACAATTCAGTGCAGCGAGTGACAGGCAGCAACTTAAGTCTGATAACCATCTGTCGTAGGCATAGAAACAGATCAGAAATCACTCGGTGCCATTATGTGCTAGGTACTGTTTATACACTCTCTGGTTCGCTGACATTAAAAACCTGACAACTTCAAAAATAAAGGATTAGATACAGAAGGATTGAGAACATAAAGCAACAAATAATTCCCAGTGAAATTTAATTCCACCTAGATGCTTAAGTGCTGCGGGTGTCGCTGGCTTCCCTCCTACAGGAGAATGGAAGAAGTCTCCAGCAGAAGGGAGGGGAGCCAACACCATCTGGTAATGCGGGACGATGATGTGGCTCAGTCAACAAGTCATGGGGTGACACAGAAGAGAGGCCTGTGCTCTCCCAGGAAACTCAGGCAGCAAGTTCCTGGGAGTCACTGGTCAACGATTTCAGAGGAGATCCTCAAACCTAGTGCACTCTGCTTAAAAAAATTACCTGCAGAGGGTCCCTGGGGTAGGTGCCAGCATGGCTCAGACAGGAAATATTGTGTTTATAAGAAACTAGGCAAGTCAGCCTTTGCGCAGGGCTCCCGTAGTCAGGCAGGAATTAGCTCTGCAAATCCTCAGCCCATGACATGAGAAATGTCCTTCCAATGTTCTCACAGATGTGTGCCATGAACCCAAAGCATCTGTGATCATGGCGACTGTCCAGGGGCATCACTTATACAATCCAGAGCAGTCACTCTGCACACAAGGGAACATCATCAGCCCAAAACCGCTGCTTTGGCTGGCCTGACTGGGTACCAAAGCAGGGGCTTACGCATCCACATTGGTTGTTTTTAATCTTGCATGTTGAGGAGTCAGATCCAGGCTGAAGCAGCATTTCCCAGAGTCTTCCCTGCTCTCTACAGGGAGAAAATGTAAATCCCCACAAGTCCTGAGCTCTTCCTGAGACTGCAGCCCCAACAGAGCTCACTGACAGAAAGTTCACACCAAGGCAATTCCGAATGTAAACAGCCCAGGAGTCAGGGATAGAAGAGACGAATGCAACCTGTTGTGAGGTTCGCCAAAAAAGAAAATGACTACTTCTAGCACCAAGAAGGGCTTGAATGGCTCTGCAAAGCAGCCCTTCACTGTGGTCCATCCAGAGAGGACAAGCTATTTGGTATTTGGGGTTAATGAGTCATTGGCTGAAAGAACTGAGTTGATCCACCTGGATTCTAGGCAAGTTTCTGCCTTCATCTAAAGTTTATACCAGAAACCAGGCAATTTACTTTATCAATTAGAACAAAGACATAATCTCAGGTAAAAAATAAAGGATTATTCAAACGATCAGGTTTCTGACTCACAAATTTGTTCATTTTGTCCTTACTAAGCCTTGTGCTTGTAATGAGATCTATATTCTAAGAGAAAGCTGAGACATGAGTGAAAATCTAAAGTTCACCTTTGCAGGTGAGATTCAGCTAAATATTTTGCTAAAACCAAGAAGAAAAATTCTGGTCAGTGTCTAGCTTACTGCCACACAGAGAAAATCTAAAGGCAGAGAAATTCAGTTTTGAGTACTTAATTTTAACACAGTCATCGGGGCCAGAGAGTTCAGCACATAAGGCACTTGCCTTGCACACAGCTGGGTTCAATCCCCGGCATCACATACAGTCCCCTGAGCACTGCCCAGAGTGACTCCTGAGCACAGCTAGGTGTGCCCCAAAATCAAAGAGAACAATCATCAGCCTATCACATTCTGTAGATGAACAGACACCCAGTGCTTTGCTAGAATTGCTTTTCTGGGCTAATATGAATAAATATGGGATACAACCCTCTTCCCCGGAGGGATTTGGAGTCAGCAGAGGACATGGTAGCATCTTGGGTTTCTAAGGTCAAGTGCTCAGACCTAGTCAGAGAAACCCAGAAAATAATTCCTCTATAGGGAGTCAGGCTTCCACAATCAGAAACACCGGCCACCCACTACTTCTCCAACTGCAGCTCAGCAAATAAGCATAAGGACTGCATCTACCCCCGGGAACAGAAGCCAACAGCCATGTACATCAGCACCCTCCGAAGTCCTTTCTAACAGCTTACCAAGGAGAGTGACCACCGAGTACGCCATCGGCCCCGAGCCTCACTACATAATGCAGGCAAACAGGCTCCTTTAGTACAAGAGGGTGAGGCCCACATGATCTTGTCACTGGATCCTGGTGGCGGAAGCCACATCAGCCAGCCTGCCAGGCCTCGGGGGTATCACCTCTGGCAGCTAGTCAGTTTTCCTCTCAATTATCATCTTTTCCTCTTCATCTTTATCTAGGTCTGTCAGGACACAAAAACAAAGCTTCTGCGTGACTCTGGTGACACTCCCTAGATGAAAAGGGAGAAGAACAGAATTTAGCAAATCAAAAACACTGAGTAGATCACATCTGTGGCTCCGACCCCACCTGTTTAGGTAGCCTAAGCCAGACTTGGCCCCTTGTCACTCCACTTCACCCCACACTCTGCCACCTTCCCTAATGGACTGACTTTCTAAAGGCAGCATTTTCATTCCAAAATAGGACCCAAATGAGAATTAAATGATCATGTCAAGAACTAAATGATCATGATAAATATCGGATTTGAGAACAACCAGACACTCCTTCCTTCCCGGAAGGAGAGGAGCCATGGGAAGGCAGCCCGGCCCTGTGGCCTCCAGCACATCACTAGTCTGGGGGAAAAATCTAGCCACCACCTCTACCTCACATGAAGTGGTGACACATGCACAGGCATGCACACGCACACACACACGTACTCAACACATACACTCACACACACAAGTACTCATACACACTCATACACACACACACACACACACACACACACACACACACACACACATTCACATATACACTCAACCAGTAAGCAATGGCAAAATAAAAGCTCACCCAAGATATTCCGAACTAAGAGTGGCCTCCGGGACTCTGGCAGGTAAACACCCAAGAAGAAGCAAGGGATCCCGGAAAGGGCGATCCCGATGCCGATGAAAGAATTGATGGTGTCACTGAAGAGCGGCACCGTCACCAGAAACACGGAGCATATGCAGAACACGATGGGGAAAAACAGGCTGAGCTGAAAGGGAACAGGAGCCAGACGGTAAAGGCGGACGGGAAGAAGGGTGCGCGGGCAGCTGGCCCACCCTCGTGCTCAGACGCCCTCACTCACCTTCAGAGGCCGCGGCCGCTCCGGCTGCTTCCAGCGGAGGTAGAGCTGCCCAAAGACAGACAGGCCCACGAAGAACCAGTAGCTGAAGCTGAAGTAGTTGATGAGCAAGAAAACATCTTCCACAGTGAGGTAGAGGAGCGCCATGGTGCACTGCAGGGAAAGTGGGAGGGAGGCTCAGTGGGCAGCGTCAGCACCAGGCTCCCCCAGGGCCCCCCACTCTTCAGTAATAAGGGACCCTCACAGTGGCAGCTCCCTCTTCTTTCAAGACCTGTCTCACTCACAGCACCCAAAAACCCTCTAAGAAACCAGATGCCTTTTCAGCATATCACGAATCACACAACTGCCCACGGGAAGCCGTTACAACTGGGTCCCCACCACCAATGAAATTGGGGGATCAAGGGGGTACAAAATGATTAAGATGTTTGCCTTGCATGCAGCTGATCCGGGACCCCCATATAGTCCCCAGAGCCCACCAGGAGTGGCCCTTGAGTGCAGAGCCAGGAGTTAGACCCGTCCCCCCAAAAAAATACAGCTCAGAAAAATTAATGGGTATCCCTGGGGAGAGAAGTATGACAGATTTGCCCTCTGGAATGGCAGAGTCCTACAAGATGGGGACAGGGTGAGGGTCAACAACCTGAGAGAGGGTCTGGAGAGACATTTTAGTGGGTAGGGTGTGTTGGCCTTGCATTTGAACAACCAGGGTTCGATCCCCGGCATCCCATATGGTCCCTGAAGCACTGCCAGGTGTGGGCCCCAAGAGAAGCTTGCTCTTCAAGCCTGTGTTCTCTCTCAAACATGCACTTCTCTCTCTCTCCTCTCACATCTTTCTAAATAAGTTCCAATAAAAACTTTCTTGCATGAAAAACAAACAAACAAAAAACAAAACCTGAGAGAGGCTGGGGAAAGGGCTCAAAGGGTTGGAGCACATGGCCTCCATGTGGGCGCCTCAGGTTCAATCCCTGGCACCCTCCTTGTCCTGAGCACCACTGGAAATTACCACAGAGAAATTCTGGGTGCAACACAAAAACAAAAAGTAAATGCAACCTGAGATAAGATCAGATTTCCTCAAATGACCCAGCAATTCCACTCCTGAAAGTAAACCCCAAGGACCCCAAAACACAATGCAGGAAAGACATCTGCACTCTTATGTTTATTGCAGCACTATTTGCAATAACCAGAATCTAGAAACAACACAAGTGTCCAAGAACAGATCACTGGATAAAGGAACTATGGGACATCTATACAACAGAATTCGACTCAGCTGTAAGTCAAGATAAAGTCATGCAATTTGCTGCCATGCTGGATGAAATGAGTCGGAAAGAGAATGATACCTCTCGTATGCGGGATATAAAGAAATATAGTAGGAGAATAACTAACGGCTGAAGGCAATAGAAGCAGGAGAACTGGTCCTTAGCAGGAAGCTTGCCACTTGTGGGGGTGGGGGGTGGGAGGGTAGGTCAGGGAAGGGACCAGTAAGACAACGATAGACGGAAGTGGTCACTCAGGAGGAGGACTGGGTGCCAAAAGGTGGCAAATGACTGCTGAGTGCAGAGCCAGGAGTAACCCTGAGCATCGCAGGGTGTGACCCAAAAAGCCAACACAGATGGGACTGGACAGAGTGCACGGGTTAGCAGGGACCTTGTCTTGCATGTAGCTGACCCACCCCTGGTGGAGCACTGGCACTTCATGCTGTTCCCTTAGCACTGACGAGTGACCCCCTGAGCATCACAGGGCGTAGCCCAAAATCTAAACACACACACACACAACTAAATGACAAGAAAAATGAGCTCTTTTCCAAATCTTAGAGAAAGGCCTTTCTTGGGTTCTCTGTTGAGTCATTACAGATTTAGTACTTTTGTCTGGGGAGTGGGGGAGGGCAGGGGCGTTTGGGACACACCCATGGGTGCTCAAAGGCTACTCCTGGCACTGTGCTCAGAGGAACATATATGACAGCTGGGAACAGAACAGGTCAGATGCATGCAAGGCAAGTGCCTAGCCCCTGTTAACACTTTCATGCAGAGCTAGAGAGATTATACAGTCGGTGGGGCGCTTGTCTTGCACACAGCTGAGACCTGGGTTTATTCCAGCACGACATTTGGTCCCCCAAGTCACAACAAGTGAACCCTGAGCTCCGAGCCAGGAACAAACCCTGAACGCTGCCGGAGTTGGCCCAAACCACCCCCTACAAGAATTAAAAAAGCTTCAGTGCAAACTAGGAAATGATAGCCATTCTTTAGGATTCTTTCCTCTGCCAGAATATTTCCATAATTTATTAACATGTTAGATTAACTGAATTTTGTTCACTGCCATCCACTGTATGTAAATTGATGTCTGTGTTAGAAATAAAAGCCCCAAGGGTAAATGGTGTACAACTGACATGACTTTTTAATATGATTTAATTAAAGAGGAAAAAAGAGCATCTGGAATGAGAAAAAGACAGTAAAATCAAAGATGATTGAATCAGAAAGATAATATAGGAGTTAAGGCACGCGCCTTGCTTGCAGCTCACTCCAGCAGGAGTAGGTCTTGGCCACGAGGTGAGGCCCCCAGCCCACCCTTGAGAAACAATGATTAAAGGGCTAGAGAGAGAGTACAGTGGACAGGGCACTTGTCTTGCACACAGATGACCCCTATTCGATGACTGGCACTCCATAGGGTCCCCTGAACCCCACCAGGAATGACCCTGAGCACAAAGCCAAGAGTCAACCCTGAACACTGCTGGGTGTGGCCCCAAACAAAAAGAGATTAAGTCTCATAGCACTGTAGCACTGTCCTCCCGTAGTTCATCGATTTGCTCAAGCGGGCCCAGTAACGTCTCCATTGGAGACTTTGTTGTTACTGTGTTTGGCATATCGAATATGTCATGGGTAGCTTGCCAGGCTTTGCTGCATGGGCGAGATACTCTCAGTAGCTTGCCAGGCTCTCCACAAGGGGCGGAGGAATTGAACCCGGGTCAGCTGAGTCGGCTGCGTGCAAGGCAAACGCCATACCTGCTGTGCTATTGCTCCAGCCCAGTGAGGTCTCATATCTATTTTTTTTTCTTTTTGGGTCACACCCAGCAATGCTCAGGGGTTATTCCTGGCTCTGCACTCAGGAATTACTGCTGGCGGTGCTCAGGGGACCATATGGGATGCCGGGGATCGAACCTGGGTCGGCCGCGTGCAAGGCAAACAAACGCCCTCCCCGCTGTGCTATTGCTCCGGCCCTCGTATCTATTTTTATATCCCTTTGTAGCTTGCCCTCTCTGATTTGACTATGCTTTTCACCTCTATAAGTATATCAGTTTAATTCTAAGAAAAATAAACACACAAGGCTAAAGTTATAATACAGTGGGTAGGGGCATCCCTTGCACATGGCTGACCCAGGTTTGATCCCAAACAGCCCAAATTGTTCCCTGAGCACTGCTAGGAGTGATTCCTGAGCACAGCGCCAGAAGGAATAAACCCTGAGCATGAGGTCACCTCCAAATAAATAAACACCGAGACACTGGGGACATGTATACTGGGACACAAGTTCCCTGCCCAGCAACTGCCAGTGTTGCTCAGGCGGCGGTGGTGACCCTGAGCATCACTGGGCCTGAGCACTGCACGGTTAGGCCCAAGCACTGACCCAGCACACCCACATTCAGGCGAAGGGTTGCCAGAAGTGGTCCCAGGCCGCCTGAGCACTGCTGGGAGGGAAGGGAGAGCAAGCACTCAGGGGCTCGTAAGTATGTCCAGAAGTCTCCTCATTAAACTGGCAGGGGACTTTCTAGACAGGCCCCGACCCCCACGGCACCCGGCATAGCTCACATTGAACAGTAAAGCGGGAATAGGCGTGAAGCGCTCGATATTGATCATGGACAGAAGGTCTGGGAGGTGGCCTTCACGGGAGCCCACGAAGAACAACCTGGAACATGAGAACTAGGTCAGCAGGACCCTTTGACCCCGCCACGCAGCCACTCCCTGATGGGGCCATCTTGCAGGCATCCCATGTTCTCCAGCATGCCAGGCCAACCTGCCCCCTCACGGATATATCCCCTCCACCAAGGGTGCCTGACTGTGATCCAGGAATGCCCAAGCTATGAAACACTGCATCGTCCACAGACACCCATTTCCAGAAACACTTATTCCTCACCATCAACCAAAGGATGCTTCACCCTGCCGCTACTCAATGGCACCCATCTATTCCCCCAGGGGACCTCTGATTCTGCTGCCGCCTAATTGCATTACCACAATGGCTTTAAAAACAAAACGCAGTCCTTCCTCTGCTGTGCCCTCCCTGTCTCCCCTGTGGCCCTGGGATTCGGGGCAGGGCAAGGAGTCAGTGGCACGACCCAGACTTCCTTTGGCACCTAGAGAGGAAACGCGCCCCAGGTAAGTCAGCAAGTCCAGGGCACACTGGGGTCAACAGCATTACCCAAGAGAGGGCCACGTCTGGAAAGAAAGTCGGAGTTTTTGTCATACTGGTCCCTTCTCTCTCTTACCTACCCTCCACCCCACACACTTGTGGTAGATTCCAACCATTGGCCAGGCCTCCTCTCCTCTAACTGTATTGAAGCACAATGCCTAAAAGGGAGGAAGGGAGGGAAGGAAGGAGGGGAAGAGGGAGAAGAAAAGAGAGGGTGGGAGAGAGGGAGAGGGAGAAGAGACAGAGAGTGTGTGTGTGTGTGTGTGTGTGTGTGTGAGAGAGAGAGAGAGAGAGAGAGAGAGAGAGAGAGAGAGAGAGCCTGCCATAGAGGCAGGGTAGGAGGGAATCTGGGGACACTGGTGCTAGGAAATGCAATGCACACTGGTGGAGAAATGAGTGTTGGAACACTTTATGATAAACCTAATCACGAACTGCTTTGTAAGGGTCTATCTCACAGTGATTCAATTAAAAAAATCTATTTTAAAATGCTTTTAAAAAAAAATGGGAGCTGGAGCAATAGCACAGCAGGTAGGATGTTTGCCTTGCATGCGACCAACCCGGGTTCGATTCCTCCGCCCCTCTCGGAGAGGCCAGCAAGCTACCGAGAGTCTCTCGCCCACGCGGCAAAGCCTGGCAAGCTCCCCGTGACGTATTCAATATGCCAAAAACAGTAACAACAAGTCTCACAATTTGTTGTGAGACGTTACTGGTGCCTGCTCGAATGAATTGATGAACAACGGGAGGACAGTGCAGTGCTTTAAAAAATAGAATTTGCCAGAAGTGAGTGGCTAGATGAGGGTACCAGCATGACAAACCCAAAAAAGGATGGTTCAAAATGCCTGCGTATAGGGTAAGAGCTGTGAGGGAACAGGCCTTGCCAGGAAACAATAAGGAACACGAGAACCAGCTATGGCTTCAAAGTCGGGGCCTGACAGGATTCGCTAGAGACTGGGGCATCATGGAGGCCACACTGGGGCAAAGGAGACTAGGATGCCAGGAGGAAGGCAAAAAAAAGAGCTGTCCACGACAATGGTCCACAAAAGGGGCTGAGGCTCTTAGCACCCTGGCTGGACAAAAAAAGAAAGATGTGGTAACCTCAGTCAAATTAAATGTGCACATGCAAACTGATGCACAGTTGAGCAAGAAAAGCAGAGGCTGCAGCTGAGAGGAGGTACTCACCTAGCATACGAGGTCCTGGGTTCAATCCCTGGCACTGCCCCAAAAATAAATTTCTTCTTTTTGGGTCACACCCAGCGATGCACAGGGGTTACTCCTGGCTGTGCACTCAGAAATTACTTCTGGTGCTGCTCGGGGGACCATAAGGGATGCTAGGACTCGAACCCCGGTCAGCCCCATGCAAGGCAAATGCCCTACCTGCTGTGCTATTGCTCCAGTCCCTCTCATAAGTAAATTTTTAAAAAAGCATCTGGAGGGGCTGGAGCAATAGCACAGCAGGTAGGGCGTTTGTCTTGCACGCAGCTGACCTAAGTTCGATTCCCAGCATCCCATATGGTCCCCCAAGCACTGCCAGGAGTAATTCCTGAGTGCATAAACCAGGAGTAACTCCTGTGCATCGCCAGGTATGACCCAAAAAGCAAAAAAAAAAAAAAAAAAGCATCTGGACATCAGGAAAAATCTAGATGCCAAGCAAAAGACTGATGTAGCACAACATACAACTGGAGACAAAGCACATGCAGAGAGCACGCTGAGTTAGAGAATCTTGTGGGCCACCCAGGTGGAGCGTGGGAGTTGACGTCAACTGGAAAAGTGCCACTGGGCAGATGTTGGCACTGGCTCCCGGGTTAATAATTTGTACTTGGGGGGCCAGAGTGATTGTACAGAAGATAAGGAACTTGCCTTGTACACGACAGACCAGGGATTCTATCCCCAAAACCTCATAGGCTCTGCCACGCGTGACCCTTGAGCACCACTGGAGATAGCCCAAAACACAAAACAACAACGTATATTTGGTAAAGGAGAAATGTGGTGAAAGAGATGTGCAAGGAAATAACGTGTCAAAGAAAAGTGAAAGTTTCTTTAGTTCAAAGCCAGGATAGTCAGATGGGTAATAAAGAAAAGTGAGGCAGCTCCCAGAGGCGGAGTAACTGCGTGCTAGATCATATTTCACTCTCCCTTCACAAGGCAGATCCCGATTCTCTTCTGGGTGATGCCAGGTGCGGGGCTACCGCTGGCTCAGTGCTTGGAGGCCATCATATGCCAAGGATCAAACCACATGTTCCTACATGCAAAACACACTCTAGCTCTTTGCACTATTTCCCGGGCCCCTTGTTTCAGTATTTTGGGCATACTCAGCAGTACTCAGCTTACTCCTGAGCAGAGCAGGAGTCGTGCCAGCCTCTGTGGAGACAGGGCAGAGTCGTCTGCCCTGGTACCTGGGTCTCAGCAAGGCCCTGGGGCTCATTTTCTGAACATGGGAACCGAGGCTGCAGCAGGACCCCGGGGAGGCTGGAGGCTGGCTCCTGGCAGCTGTCTTCCCTCCCATGACCTCTAACCAATATGGCTTCACCTTGAAAGGAAATGTAGGCCAGCAGCATGCAAGTGTCTGCCAAACATACACAGGAACACAAGCACACATGTACACACATTCATATAAGCACGAAGGCGCACACACACACACACACACACACCCTGCAAGCACACATGTACACATACTTACACAAGCACGCACGCATGCGTACATACATACACACACACACACACACACACACACACACACACACACACACACCCTGCATTTCCAAGAAAGGGAGAAATAAAAAGGGAAGCCTAGGGTTCGCCAGGGGCCTTGGAGAACTAGATACTTCGGGAGGGTCATCAGAACCACAGTACCTTGATGAAGCAAAGATAGACGCGTTGAGGCCCCCAAAGCAGGACAGAGCCACGGCGATAGGGATGGTCCAGCTGAACATGCCAAATGTCCTGTCTGCAAAAGTCTAGGGGCAGAGCACACAAGGACACTCAGCAAAGAGTAGGGTTTCTTGAGTCTCCCGCCTCTGCTTTCAGGTCAAAACCAACCAACACTGCTGGGTGGTCCACTCAGAGCTGGACCAGAGAGGATTGAAGCCAACTGGAATCATAAGATAACGGGCAAATGGGGATCCCAAGAGACTCACCACAGCCACCGCGTCACTGCCTAGGACTTCTGACATGTTCAGCACTGTGTAGTAGGCCACGTTGGTCAGGATGTAGATGAGCATCACGATGGGCATGGAAATCCCAATGGCCAGGGGCAGGTTTCTGTGAAGACAAGTGAGACTCCCTGGCACCAACCCCTCCCAGAGGCCCAAGTGCACCCCAGGGTTTTTCTGACACTTAACGGTTCATCTGGGCCTTTTAAGCAGGCTCCAGGTCCCCCTGTGGTATGGGCGGGTTGGGTACCTCCTGGCCCTGGGCTCTTTCTACGGGAAGGAGAGGGGGAGACCCCTTCTTGATGAGGACAGCTTGGGAGCAGTATTTGCTCCTCACCACAGTAGGCCCAAGGGTCCCACTGCTGAAGGGGCGAGGTCCCTAGGGATTGGAGGCAGGCAGAACAAACTTCTGTGTCCCCAGGACTCGGAGTCCTGGGTCGGCCACTGCCGCCTACAGGACCTCTCCTCCACGTGGGTCTGGGGTGCTCCAGGAGAGGGTGAGGCCAGGGCATCGTGGTTTTCCCACTCACTCCATCCCATCCCCAAGCCCCTCGGAGCTGGAGAAGAAGGGGTGAGAGGCAGACGGAGGGGCGTGGAGGAGGACAAGCATGCTCACTACTGCAGGAGTTCCAGCCAAGTTGGGGGGCGACCGTGTAATCCCGCCTTTACCTTTCTGGGTTTTTGATTTCTTCTGTTACAAAATTAAGGGTGTCCCAACCTGAGTAAGAGAACAGGGCAGAGTAGAGGGCGAGGGAAAGGTTTCCTAAACTCCAGGAGGAACCTTCAAAGGCGTCCTGAAAGTGCTCAGATTTTCCTGTGGTGACAAACGGAGGGAAAAGGGGAAGGAGGAAGAGAGATGAAAGATATGGAAGGGGAGGGAGAGAGGCAGTAAGAGAGAGGATGAGAGGATTGGAAGAAAAAGAGAAAAGAAAAGGGTAAAGAAAAGAAGATAAAAAAGAGGGCGGGGAAAGAAAAAAAAAACATAATTTTACACCAAAAGAACCACCACCACAGTTCCTGCACTTCAATCGCCCTCCCTACCCCCACCACTAACGGTCATGCTCACTGGGCTGGGGCAATAGTATAGCAGGTAGGGGCTTGCCTTGCAACAGCAGACTCATGTTCAATTTCTAGCACCCCATAAGGTCCCCTGAACCCCACCAGCAGTGATCCCTGAGTACAGAGCCAGGAGTCAGCCCTGGGCATCACTGGGTGTGGCCCAAAAACAATTAAAAAAAAAAGTTCAAATTCATCCAGGAAAATCAGACAATCGGGAGCTGGAGCGATAGCACAGCGGATAGAGCATTTGCCTCGTACACAGCCGACCGGTGTTCCATTCCCAGCCTCCCATATGGTCCCCCGAGCACCGCCAGGAGTACCAGTAGTAATTCCTGAGTGCATGAGCCAGGAGTAACCCCTGTGCATTGCCAGGGTGACCCAAAAACAAAAATACAAAAAACAGACAATCTCTGTGCCACCTTTCCGAAGTCCTAATAAATTCCCATTTCCTCCTAATGATCTCAAGCAGGTTGCAGGTCTTCCAATTTTCAGAACCTTGTTGCACACAAAGGTGTCTTTTTGGCATTGGCCTCTAGGGGGCACACCTGAAGGTACTCAAGGGCCCATGAGGTGCTGGGGATCAAATGTGGGTCTTCGCATGCCAAGTGTGTACTCAGAACACTGAGCTCTCTCTCTGTCCAGCCTCAGGTGTCATTTTCTATTAACACTCCAGAACTTCGTGTGGGCCCTGTCGACCCAGACAATTCACACTCTGATCAAAGGGCTTCTCTTGTCACGGAGAGAACGCTCATTCTCTCTTACCTACACCCTGGCAGCGGCTATATACCACAGGAAACCACAGCCTACACAGGAAGTGAGTTTCTTTCCTTAAGTCTCACAGAGCCTGGGGTAGGTTTGGATCACTTTCACTCTTTTTTTTTTTCTTTTTGGATCACACCCGGCAATGCACAGGGATTACTCCTGGTTCATGCACTCAGGTATTACTCCCGGCGGTGCTCAGGGGACCATATGGGATGCTGGGAATCGAACTCAGGTTGGTCGCATGCAAGGCAAACGCCCTATCCGCTGTGCTATCGCTCCAGCCCCTGGATCACTTTCACTCTTGGAGATGCAACACTTGTCACCTTCCAGAGAGGCTGCAGAGACCAGGCTTAACCAGAGCAAAAGGAGGGAGCAGAGACCTCGCTCAGAAGAGCAGATGCTTGGCATACATGAGGCTCCGGGATCTATTCCCACCAAAAAAAAAATTTTAAAGCTGAGAGGAGCACCCAGATGCCTCTTATAGAAATTTTTCAACAAGACAAAGACTGAGCTGAGCCATAGAACTAACAGAGCTTAAAGCATGAGATCCAAACTAAAAAGACAAAACTTAAAAAGTGCTTGTCAAGGAGGCAAGCTGGGGATGGGAGGGATACTGGGGGCATTGGTGGTTGGTGGAGGGAAGTTGACATTGGTGATGAAATTGATATTGGGTCATTGTATGTAAGCCTAAAACTAGGCAACTGTAAGTAATTCTATAAATCATGGTGCCTTGGTTAAAAAAATTGAGGGAAAAAAAAAAGACTGCTATAGGGCCAGAGAGATAGGCCAGGGATTACGGAGTCTTCGGGGTTTTATATATGTGTGTGTGTGTGTGTGTGTGTGTGTGTGTGTGTTTAATTTTTGGGCCACACCTGGCTGTGCTCAGGGATTTCTCCTGGCTCTGTGCTCAAGGATCACTCCTGGCAGTGTTTGGGAAACCATATGTGGGACCAGGGGTCAGACCCGGGTCAGCTGCAAGGCAATAATAATACCCACCATAATCTCACTACAGTCCATCTCCCACTCCTGTTAAGGAGGATCAAGTCTTCTACTTGTTACCTGGCAGTCACAGACCAAAAACAGGAGCCCCACTGCTTCCATTTCTGAACTAATTATGTGTGACCAAAGTTCCAAGAGCTCCAAGGCCCTCGGCCAGCTTCTGCAAGGCTCCCATCCGCCAGGGCGGGGCTGACTCCCATTCAACTGGAGCTGAGCTCAAGCCCTCCCAGACAGTCGAGCATGAACAGTCAAGCTAAAGGAAACCCCACTTCCTCCTCTGAGACCCCAGAGGACGTCCTGGAGTCACCCACTCTCCTTCCCACCTGGGGCCCTTCTTACCCTGGCACAGTTTAACAAGGCCCATGACAATGATGGCAATGAGCGCTAGCACCTTGGCATAAGTGAACGCGTCTTGAACCCGCGTGCCCCACTTGACGTAGGCACAGTTCACAAATGTCAGCAGACCTAGGAGGAAAACCACAAAGTCACTGGCAGGCATGAGCTGAGGATGCAGAGGCCAACCTCCCTGCTGGAAGGTTTCCTTTCCACCTATGGCAAAGGGGCAGTCGACCAACCAGATCAGAACAGGCAAATGGATGCCCTGGCCCCATGCAAGAGCTCTCATGAGTGTCCCAGCTCTATGGACAAGATACACGCATTCATCCTTTCAGGTAGCCTGAACCATCTGTGGGAATTCCCCGAGCCCAGGAATGGCGGATTTATTCTCTCTCCTATATCAGACATCCAAGGTTCCAAAGCTGACAAGACCCCACAAGTTCACCTTGGCCCCAAACAGTCAGGATGAGAAACATCCTTCAACAGCTAAGGTAAACTTGACCGCAGGTGACAACACAGGAATCAGAAACACAGTTTTGGATTAAATAGAAAAAAAGAAAAAAGTCGGTCCTATGCCTGAAGATTTTACAAACATCCTCATAAACAATTTTTTTTCTTTTGGGGTCACACCTGCTGATGCTCGAGGGTTACTCCCAGCTCTGCACTCAGGAATGACTCCTGGCAGTGCTCAGGGGACCATATGGGATGCTGGGAATTGAACCTGAGTCGGCCATGTGCAAGGCAAATGCCTTACCCGCTGTGCTATTGCTCCAGCCCCCTCATAAATAATTGTTATGACGACCACCCATCTCAATGTTGTACATGTAGAAACTTAAGTTGCCTGACTGCTATCTGTGAGCTCATATGAACGGCATGGATCTCCCGCTCCCATTCCTGCCCACACCTCACTTCCCCGCGAGCCCACAGAGGCCAGTACATGTGGGGCTCCCACGCTCATGTCAGGCTCCAGTTCTTCTCTCAGCTCCGGGTCTCTGGGCCCTGCTGAGGGTCACACACCTTTCCTTGGGTACAATACCAGGGCTTGAACTCAAGGTCTCATACCTCCACAACACATTCTCAACCGCTTGGGCCTTCTGGGTACCACCATCACACTTATTAGCACAGTAGCACTGTCCTCCCGTTGTTCATCCATTTGCTCGAGTGGGCACCTGTAACGTCTCCATTGTGAGACTTGTTGTTACTGTGTCTGGCATATCGAATATGTCATGAGTAGCTTGCCAGGCTCTGCATTCGGGCGGGATACTCTCAGTAGCTTGCCGGGCTCTCTGAGAGGGGCAGAGGACTCGAACCCGGGTTGGCCATGTGTAAGGCAAATGCCCTACCTGCTGTGCTATCACTCCATACTTTACCCTGCTACACAGAAGCTGTGCTGATGCATGGAGAAAGACAGAAGATCATCTACTGGAGGGTTCCACAGCAATTCTTCTAACCTTCCATAGGGGCTGTAGCAGGCACGGTGAGGAGGGTGTTTTCCTTGCATGCAGCCAACCTAGACTGAGTCCAAGCTCCCCATGTGGTCCCCTGAACCCAGCAAGAGAAATCCCTGAGCTGAGAGCCAGGAGGAAGCCCTGAGCACTTCCAGGTGTGACCCACGACAAAATCAAACAAAGAAAAAGCACAAATTTTATGTGAATTTCAAATGTTCTTACAAAATCTACTTGGCTCATTCCCCAGATCACCTCTGCCGACTCCTACCTGTTTTGTACTGTCTCCTTCAGTCACTCTCATTAGTGCCAGGTAGACACAAGCAAAATCAGCTCCTTTCCTCCTCCTTCTCCTCCTCAGCCCACAGGGGCTCCCACTGCCAAGGCGGAGCTTAATCTCCACTTTCCCAGATATGCCAGCGGCCCCTCAACTGAGCCCTCTCTAGGCCTCTCCCGGGAGCTCTATGGCATCTAAACCTCAGAACACAGCTGCGTGCCTGTTGCCAAGCACCGGAGTGATGCTACCCCAAGAACAGACTTTCGGAGGGAAACAAAAGCATATTGCTGTCTTAAGCGAACAACATATTTTCAAAGTATATCGTCAAGCAAAGGTAGGAACTGACATTGGGATCACATGGTTGATAACACCCACTAAACTGCAGGCCAGGCAATCAGAGGAAATACCTACAATTCTCCTGGCAGATGGAAAAGAGTTCCTGGTACAGGCTGCAAGACTGTGGGAAGCCCAACAGGTTACAGGACACTTCAAGAACTACCACTCTCACGGACAGAGAGAAAGTACAGTGGATAGAGCACTTGCCTTGCATGTGGCCAACACAGATTCAATCCCCAGCATCCCATATGGTCCCCTGAGCAGTGCCAGGAGTAATTCCTGAGAGCAGAGCCAGGAGTAACCCCTGAACATGGCTGAGTGTGTCCCCCACTCCCATTAAAGGACTATCACTCAATACAGTGGCAAATGACTCAGTGCTCATTAGTCAGTCAGGGAGATGGTGTGGCCAGTACCTCTTCCTCTCCTAAAGATCAAGGTGGAAAAAAAGTCAAAGGAACGCTGCTGCTGGCGAGAGCCCTCAAGATCCCACCTGCTAATCGCAGTTCACTGTGTGGAGCTAAGCCCAGATCACCCCACCTACAATTAGCTAGTCAACAATCCCGAGTAATCCTCAGGTTCCGGACTATACTATAAGCATAACATGAGCTGCCCTCTGGGTCCCTTCTTGGGAACTGCTCGTTCCCCGTCACAGCGCATCTGTCCAAATGCTAGTGCCATTACTGAGCTGTTGCCAGGAACAGTCATTAGCAAGAGACTGGCTCTACCTAAGAGCCACCACATTGGGGCCACGGCAAGGCCGAGCCTTCTGCAGAATTCTGTAACAGGAACAACAACAAGACAAGAAGGTGAAGGACAGAAGCGCTACTACAAAAAGCAGAAATAAAGGGCTCTGTGGCTTGTGAGAAAAAAAAAAGGATGGAGAAATATGTAGAAATAGACAAGGAGACGGATAGAAGGGGACAAGGGACAGGGAGGAGACCTCCACCCCAGCAAAGCTCAGGGACTATTAAGCACCACTAGTGTGGGCCCCTAAACACAGACCCAAAAGAAACCAAGACACGGACCCAGGGGCCACGGAGAATGTTCCACAAGGTTCTCCTCCAGCTTGTCTGCAGCCCCACGCCCGCCCACCACCCTCTCTCCTCCTCCCTTCCTTCCCCCCACACCACAGCTATCCCCCAGGCTTGCTCCTTATGCGCAGGAGCAGAGAGTGAACACTGTACCCCGTGGGAACCCTATGTCTCCAGGCAGCCCAGTGGCAGTCCCTGAAGGACCCCTTTGCCAGGGCCAGCAGTAGGGTGCTCGCCTTGCATAAGTGATGTGTGATCACTGGGACCATGTGACACTTGGCCATAAAACTGGGCCCGAGAGGGATGGTTCAGCAGGCTGAGTCTCCACTGTGCATGCAGGAGCCCTGGTTTTGGTGCCCGATACCACACGGTTCCCCCAAGCATGATAGGGAGTGAGCGCTGAACACCACCGGGTGTGGCCCCCAAACAGAAAAAAAAAATTACGAATTAGTGATGAGCAGCCAGTAGATGGGTGGCCCAGAAGAGGAGGTGAGTCAAGGGCCTGGAGCACAAAATTTCAGGCCCGTGGCCAAGCGGTTTGCTGAGAGCAAGCACCACCCTAAAAGCCGTCCAGGAGGCTTGCTTGCTTCATCTTATTACTGCCAGAGAACAGAGAGCTCCGAAAACAGTTTACTGAGGAGAAGCCAAGTCTCTGGACTGTTTGCTCGATTCTACTTAAGAAACAGCGTTTCACCACTTGCTCTCCGCCCTCTGAGACTCCCAGAACTGCTGGCCCCATTTAGCTGACCACGGACACAAGCCTGGGCCGGGGGTCCAGGGGCTTCATGTCTACTACCACAGTGAAAACACCAGCTGCTCCCCAGAGAAGCGGTTTGCTTGTGCCCTGCGTGTGCCTACGAATGAGGCCCCCAACGAGGTCTTCCACTGCCCTGGGGAACAATTGCTGAGAAAGACACACCCAGAAGCTCCAGAATCAGACCCAATGCCAAAGAGAAACAAGGCCCCAAATCCTCTGCGGCAAGTCCTCTTTCATTTTTCCTCAGCAATCAAAGTTTTAGGGGTCGGAGAGATAGTACAGAGGGTAGGGTGCTTGCTTTGCAATCAGCAATCCTGGGTACAATCCCTGGCACCCCATATGGAACCCCTAGCCCTCAGGACTGATCCCTGAGCATAGAGCTAGAATAAGCTCTGAGCACTACAGGGTGTGGTTCCAAAACAAACAAAAGTTTTAGCTGGAATCATGACTAATAATGTCACCCTTTCCCCGGGACTAGGGAGACAGCTCAAAGGGCCAGTACACATGCTTGAGGGAGACCCGCCCTAATCTCTCTGGTTTAATCCCCAAAACCAGTTGATCCTCCCTGAGCACTGCCTGAGCACAACTCAGGAGCCCCTGAGCACCAGCAGGTAGGTATGGCCAAAATCAAAAAATCAATAAAATAGACAACGTTTCCATTTTTCAGTCTCCTGGTAGGTAAACAGCAGGAAGGAACCTGGCTCCCTGAAGAAACAGGAAGTCATTCCCCTCAATCCCACACTGAGACTTCTGACATGGAAGAAACATGTCAACGTTTGTTTGGGTCACCCTGCTTCTGGCTTTCAGCTGCTTGAAAACCAAATGAACCATGAATAAAACATGCACCTCAGACTGAACGTCTCCTCTCATACTCCTGTGAGCGGCTGCCTGGTAACCTGAAGCTGGAACTCGAGTTTTACCCAGTGTCATAGCTCCCTTCCTGGCCTAGGGAGGGGAAGGAGCCCTTCCAGTCCCTCCCACCCACAGGCAGCCTGGTACTAGGGGGCAGTCAAGGTCACAGGCGTGCAAGTCTTAGAGAACAAGGTGGGAGGAGATAAAAACAAGTAGAAGTTTATTAGGAGAAAAACAAAGTCAGGGGTGTCGCTGGGTGGGAGAGCCCTGGCCTTGCAAGTGTGTGGTCCTGGGTTGGATCCCTGGCACAGGCGAGTAGGGGGAGGTGAAACATGTTCTACAACAGTTCAGGGGAAGTTAAGGAGTTATGTCATGGGATGTAAATGAAGATGTAATGTAAATGCCTTTCTAAAGAGCCCTTTTGAAGCCGG